TCAGGCAATTCTCCTGCATCAGCTTCCCGAGTAGCTGGGACCACAGGCGCACACCACCACTTGCAGCTAATTTTTGTATTTTTAGTAGAGACGGGGTTTTACCATGTTGGCCAGGATGGTCTCAATATCTTGATCTCATGATCCACCCACCTCACCTCCCAAAGTGCTGAGATTACAGGCATGAGCCACCACGTCCGGCCAAAAGTTGCCCACTATTGATGATTAAAAACTTTAGTCACATTTCCTCATCATCAAACTCATTTCTGCTTATAGATTAAAAGAGCACCTGGAGCAGGTACGGACGTGCATGCTTGTCATCCCAGCACTTTGGGAGACCAACGTGGGTGGATTGCTTGAGCCCAGTAGTTCAAGACCAGCCTGGGCAACAAGAGCAAAACTCCGTCTCAAAAAAAAAAAAAAAATAGTGGGCAACTTTCACATCTTTCTTTGGTTCCCCAAGCTAAAACACACAACCAAAACTAAGAGGAGTGGGCTGGGCATGGTGGCTCATGCCTGTAAACCCAGTACTCTGGGTGGCCAAGGCAGGCAGATGGCTTGAACCCAAGAGATTGAAACCAGCCTTAGTGACACGAGACACCTATGTCTACAAAACTTTTTTTTTTTTTGAGACAGAGACTCGCTCTGTCACTCAGGTTGTAGTGCAGTGGCACAATCTTGGCTAACTGCAATCTCTCCCTCCTGGGTTCAAGTGATTCTCCTGCCTCAGCCTCCTGAATAGCTGGGACTACAGGTGTGTACCACCACGTTCGGCTAATTTTTTTGTATTTTTAGTAGAGACGGGGTTTCACTATATCGGCCAGCCAGGATGGTCTTAATCTCCTGACCTCATGATCCGCCTGCCTCGGCCTCCCAAAGTGCTGGGATTACATGCATGAACCACCTCACCCGGCCAAAACTTTTAAAAAACTAGCTGGGTGTGATGGTGTGTGCCTGTAGTCCCAGCTACTTTGGAGGCTAAGGCAGGAGGACCACTTGAGCCTGGGAGGTGGAGGCTGCAGTGAGCTGTGATTTCACCATTGCACTCCAGCCTGAGTGACAGTGAGACCCTGTGTCTAGTAAATGCATACATAAAGACTAACAGGAGCCCTGGGGCTTTGCAGAAGGAAAACGAGCTGAGCCGGGTGGGGGCAGAGTGCTGTGCCCTGAATACAGTGAGCCGCAAACCTACCTGTCAAGCGAATCTCCCCTCCTGACCTGCCCCTGCCACCCCCAGGATGGTTACCAACAAAGGATGAGTCAGGAATTTCAAGTTCCGCCTTAGAAGAGCAACGGCAGAAAACTTTCCATGAGGCATCGTATTTATGCAGGAGCAGCAGTCTCTACATTTGTGGTAAGGAGAGTCCCTGGCCCACACAATGCCATATGTGTCATGATGGGGAATTGTTCTCTGCTGACGTGTGAGCTGATCCCGTGGGCCCGCACAGGGTGGTTTCTCCCTCGAGGATTCATGAGAATGAAGGCTTCCCTTTGCAACACCCCACTGAGTAGGTCTCTCCGCCCCTGGCCAGAAGTCAAGCTGGGGGACGTTGCTCTCACCTGGCCTGGCCCACCACTCCCCCAGCATGCATGGGAGCCGCAGCCTCATCATTGCCACAGTGCAACACTGCTGGGGGGCTTTGGGAAGAAGATGGCAATTATCCTAGTGGAAAGCTGGCTGGGCACAGCAGGGACCTTCTCTCTTCCTCAAAGGGCCTCACATGTCCCTTACTAACCACAAGGTTTTAGGATGTCATTTGTGAGCTGAGTCCTCCAGTCACTGCTGCATCCTGGCAAGGACCTGGTGCTGACTCACCTGGCTGAACAGTGATCCTTGAGGTCACCTGAGTGGGATATAGTGACCCTTTCTGAACTGGCAGTAATCATCCTATCTGGGATCCCCATGAAACACTGAGATTTTACTAAAAACAAATTTATTTTGTTTTGAGACAGAGTCTCCCTCTGTCACCCAGGCTGAAGTGCAATGGCACAATCTCAGCTCACTGCAACCTCTGCCTCCCCAGTTCAAGCAATTCTCCTGCCTCAGCCTCCCGAATAGCTGGGACTACAGGCGTCTGCCCTGACACTGAGCTGCTTTTTGTATTTTTAGCAGAGACGGGGTTTCACCATGTTGGCCAGGATGGTCTCAATCTCCTGACCTCGTGATCCGCCTGCCTCGGCCTCCCAAAGTGCTGGGGTTACAGGTGTTACCATGCCTGGCCTTTACTAACAAAATTTAAAAGTTAGGTTACATTTACTTATTTCTTGCTACGTGAGGGTTTGCTCCCGAAGCCGTGACCAAACCGGGGAAGGAGAAGCATCTGTTTCCTTGATGCTCATAGAAACTGTGTTTTCTTCCCTTAGGTCATTTACACACATCCCCCAAAAAGGACCAGATGAGACTTAGAAATGGGCCTAAGGTGAGAAGTTAGCCCAACATGCCATAAGGCTGCCGTGCAGTAAGGCAGCACGGGGCTTTCAGCCTCATAGACAGGGGCCCTGAGAGTCACTTTCAACCCAGTAGTGAGAATTTAACAGCGAGATCATAGGGAGAGACTACTGATCAAACGGACCCATGACTCCAGCTCTCGACGTAGCTGGGTTCCCATCTGGCTGGTGTCACCCCTCACACAGTGATGAGTCCTTCCCATTAGTCACTCAAGTCCAAGGGAAGATGCCCATTTCCTCCTGCAGTCAGGGAGTAGGCAAGGCCGGGCACATGGCGCTCGCCTGTAGTCCCAGCTACTCAGGAGGCTGAGGCAGGAGAATCACTTGAACCCGGGAGTTAGAGGTTGCAGTGAGCTGAGATTGCACCACTGCACTCCAGTCTGATGACCCAGCAAGCTTCATCTCAAAAAAAAAAGATACAAAACATTGTATTTCCAGCTGTTAAAAAAGGGACTCAATTGGCTGGGCATGGTGGCTCATACCTGTAATCCCAGCACTTTGGGAGGCTGAGGTGAGTGGATCACGAGGTCAAGAGATCAAGACCATCCTGGCCAACCCTGTCTCTACTGAAAAAAAAAAAAAGGCTGGGCATGGTGGCTCACCCCTATAATCCCAGCACTTTGGGAGGCCGAGGCAGGTGGATCACGAGCACGAGGTCAAGAGATCGAGACCATCCTGGTCAACAAGGTGAAACCCCGTCTCTACTAAAAATACAAAAATTAGCTGGGCATGGTGGTGCGCGCCTGTAATCCCAGCTACTCAGGAGGCTGAAGCAGGAGAATTGCCTGAACCCAGGAGGCGGAGGTTGCGGTGAGCCGAGATCACGCCATTGCACTCCAATCTGGGTAACAACAGCGAAACTCCATCTCAAAAAAACAAACAAACAAACAAAAAATTAGCTGCATATGGTGGTGCATGCCTGTAGTCCCAGCTACTCGGGAGGCTGAGGCAGGAGAATTGCTTGAACCTGGAAAACAGAAGTTGCAGTGAGCCAGGACCATGCCACTGCACTCCAGCCTGGTGATAGAGGGAGACTCTGCCTTAAAAAAAAAAAAAAAAAGGACTCAATGCCAGGCATTGTGGAGATTGATGCAGGTCAGTCATTAACTCGATTTGGAAAGCTTTAGAGCAGGGGTGTCCAAGCTTTTGGCTTCCCTGGACTACATTGGAAGAATAATTGTCTTGGGCCACACATAAAATACACTATACTGACCAGGCACCTTGGCTCACGCCTATAATCCCAGCACTTTGGGAGGCCGAGGCGGGTGGATCACAAGGTCAAGAGATTGAGACCAGCCTGACCAACATGGTGAAACCCTGTCTCTACTAAAAATACAAAATTAGCCAGGCGCATTTCTGTAATCCCAGCTACTCAGGAGGCTGAGGCACAAGAATCTGAACCCAGGAGGCGGAGGTTGCGTTGAGCCGAGATCGTGCTATTGCACTCCAGTCTAGGCAACAAGAGCGAGACTCCATCTCAAAACAAAAACAGAAACATGCTCCTTCGTTTCCAGTAGATGAGGAAATCCTGGGAGAGGGAAATGATCAGTCACTGGGCTGCTCTGCTTGGGGGTGGAGCAGAGACTTCACTGTGATGATTAACACAGCAGGGCTTGGGACTGGATCCTCACTTCTTCAAGGTATCACATTAGCAGCAACGCCCCCAAAATGTTTATCTTACGGTACAACCTGCTCATTCACGCAAATTTACCAGCACTGATTTCTTACACCTGGGGAAATAGCAGTGTAAACCCATGTAGGTGCCTGTCCCTCTAGTCTTATGATAGGCAAGGAAACCGAGGCCAGCACAGCAGGTGGGGAAGGGCTGACGTGCACCAGGAAGCCACTGGTTATGTTAGCTTTTTTCCGATGCTCTATTTGGTGCTTTGGAAACTACCAGAGGGAGCCCTTTGAGGGGCCGTAAACCTTCTCCATACCATGGCAGTGCAATCAGAGGGGCTGTATGGCTGGTGAGTGCACTTCGCCACGGATGAAAAAACTCTCGGGATTATATCTCTGAGCATCTTTTCAGACGTAGAGCCTAGAAGATCTGAACTGTGGGTTCCTGGAGGCTGAGAAGGTAAGTGGGTGCTGGGTCCCCAAGTATTCTGTGGGCTATAATTGCATGGACAATTCCGGGGTTTTTCATTTCAGGAGAGGCGTGCAGGGCTCCAGGGTCCACGGTGGCACAGCAGGAGCCCTAAGTGCCTTGGGACAAAAGTCACAGCAAGTCGGGCAGGAAGCGAAGCTCAGGTCAAAGGCCTCCTCCACCATCTGGACGCAGGTGGAGTCACCTCACCTGTGGCACGTGGAGTGCAGAGGATCCTTTGGACCATGCCTCACTAATTCCATTTCAGACTCAAAAAGAAGGTCAGCTCCTCCCGAGGGATTCTGTTCACGCAGTGCGGGGGGGGGGGAGCAGCCAGCTTTCCTCCACCCCCAAGGCCCCTGAATACGATCTTTGTCACAGTCTGTGCAGCCAGGCAGGGCCAGAGCTCAGGGGCCCAGGAGGAAAAGCAGACATTTGAGAGGCCCAGGTTTTGTGCTTTAAGCTTATTTTAGGGTAACTATAAAGGCGGTGAATCCCAAGGGTGCCTGATCGTGCCAGACTGGGCTTGATCTCTGAAAGCAAACCCGGGAGAGCTCCAAGGGAAGGGTTCCGGCCCCAGGTGTCCAGGTTTCCAGCCTGGCAACCTAGAAGACACGGAGGTAGAGCATGGCTGAGCCTGGACACCGCAAAGGTTCCAGAGCATGGGGTGGGATGCGTGGCCGTGGGGAGGTCCCAGAGCAGAGAAAGAGGAAGCCCTGGACAGCAGGCAGCCCGGGTCAGGTAGCAGGACCCGAGCAGTACGGTGGAGGGAGATACTCACCCTGTGATTCCCAGTCAGGAGTTGAGAAATACTGAAGGCACGATCTGCTTCCCATGGAGGGCAGTCAGAGTCATTTACACATGTTGAATTGTTTCTGTTTTAGAAACCAGAGTGGTTAAAAATGAATGGGACATGCTAGTTCCTGTGTGAACATGAGGTGAAGAACCTCTTCCCCGAATGCAAAAGTAAACATCAGTTGCTGACAAGTGCCTCCAGTGCCTGCCCAGGAGCCTGAACGCTGTAAGATTAGAGAAATAAGTTGGGCACGGAACTCACGCCTGTCCTCCCAGCACTTAGGGAGGCTGGGGCAGGAGGACCATGAGCCTGGGAGGAAGAGGTTGTAGTGAGATGTGATTGCACCACTGCACTCCAGCCTTGGCAGAGCAAGAAAGAAAGAAAGAAAGAAAAAGAATGCAAAAGTTCCTTACAACCGATAGGGATAATTCTCCCCAACTGCTGAGTGACAAAGCTGAGGCAGAACAGGAGATGGGCCAGATCAAAGGACAGACGAACTTTTTTTTTTTTTTGAGACAGAGTTTCACTTTTGTCCGCTGGACTAGAGGGCAGTGACATGATCTCAGGTCAATGCAAGTTCCACCTCCCAGGTTCAAGTGATTCTCCTGCCTCAGCCTCCCAAGGAGCTGGGATTACAGATATCCACTACCATGCCTGGCTAATTTTTTGTATTTTTAGTAGAGATGGGGTTTTGCCATGTTGGGCAGGCTGGCCTCGAACTCCTGACCTCTGGTGATGTGCTCCCCTTGCCACCCAAAGTGCTGGGATTACAGGCATGAGCCAGCGTGCCCAGCCTTTTTTTTTTTGAGACAGTGTCTCACTCTGTCACCCAGGTTGGAGCTGGCACGATCTTGGCTCACTGCAACCTCTGTTTCCCAGGTTCAAGTGATTCTCCTATCTCAGCCTCCTGAGTAGGTGGAATTACAGGCACCTGCCAACATGCCCAGCTAATTGTGTATTTTTAGTAGAGACCTGGTTTCACCTTGTTGGCCGGGCCAGGCTTGAACTCCTGACCTCAGGTGATCTGCTTGCCTCAGCCTCCCAAATGCTGGGATTACAGTCATGACTCATCCCACTCGGCCTAGGTAGACAATGATCTGTCACAGTGTTTTATATTTGCCTTCCTCTTACTGTTTCTGGAGACTTCCATTGTCTGTGTGTAGATCCAAGTTTCTATCATATTTCTTCTACCTGAAGAACTTGAGCATTTCTTGCAGTGTGTGACTACTGGTAATAAATCCTGTCAGCTTCTATATGTCTGAAAAGGTAGTGATTTGGCCTTCCCCTTTTGAAAAATAACTTTGCTAAGTATAGAAATCTAGGCTAGGGCCGGGCGCGGTGGCTCATGCCTGTAATCCCAGCACTTTGTGAGGCTGAGGTGGGTGGATTACCTGAGGTCGGGAGTTCGAGGCAAGCCTAACCAACATGCAAAAACCCTGTCTCTACTAAAAATACAGAATTAGCTGGGCGTGTTGGCACGTGCCTGTAATCCCAGCTACTCTGGAGGTGGAGGCAGGAGAATCGCTTGAACCCAGGAGGCAGAGGTTGCGGTGAACCGAGATCGCACCATTGTACTCCAGCCTGGGCAAGAAGAGCGAAACTCTGTCTCAAAAAAGATGTCTTTCTCAGGAGTGTGTGGAAGCAGTGGTGTGAGCTCCTACCAGATGCCATTGGGATGGGCAGAGGCAGCCCCTTGAGGAGACTTGAGTGGCCACTGTGGACCCCACCAGTTCCCTCGTGGAAGGAGCATTTCCAGGAAAAGGGCACTCCTCACTTGGGTGTCTGCTCGGTGGGGTCTCACCCGGACTTCAGCTCTGGATCAAGCAGTGAAAGGTGACTCTGGACTTTCACACATACCTCAAAGTGTGCAGACAATGGCAGAACCACTCCTGAGCGTGTCAGGCTGGTGCTACAAATGAAGAAACTGAGGCACAAAAGCGTTCTTTGGCTCGTGCTACCTCCTGAGCAGTCTGGGTGCTGAGCAAGGAAGGGTCTTAGGAATTCCATGTCCCCCACCTTAGTGAACACCTCAGCATGAAAATTCCCTGGGCCAGCTTTCCCTGTGATCAGAGGCAGACCCATACGGCAGCCTCTGGGAGAGACATGCGGAGTTCTGGGGCTCCTGCAGGACAGGAGATGTGACCCTGGCTCCATGTGCCAGCCCTGTCCATGAGCAGTATCAGCAGCATGGAGCCTCACCCAGGCGAGGCTCAGCCTCTGTCTGGAGCCTCCCAGTGTGATGCTGCTGGCCAGAACAGTGGCCTTGGGGGTCTGCAGTCACTTGAGTGTTTCTCAGCACGGCCCCTTTCCAGGATGGTAGCTGTACCCTGTTTGCACGTGCTGGTGACATTTATGACTTATCATTTCACTTGGTTGGAGAAATTTCTGCCAAGGTGGGTGGAACACCTGAGGCCAGGAGTTCAAGACCAGCCTGACCAACGTGGAGAAACCTCGTTTCTACCAAAAATACAAAATTAGCCAGGCATGGTGGTGCCTGAGCAACAGGAGTGAAAGCCTGTCTCAAAAACAAAAACCAAAAAAAGGAGAAGATGAATAAATCTGACGTTATTTTTCAAAAGGGGAAGGCCAAATCACTACTTTTTCAGACATATAGAAGCTGACAGGATTTATTACCAGTAGTCACACACTGCAAGAAATGCTCAAGTTCTTCAGGTAGAAGAAATATGATAGAAACTTGGATCTACACACAGACAATGGAAGTCTCCGGAAACAGTAAGAGGAAGGCAAATATAAAACACTGTGACAGATCATTGTCTACCTAGGCCGAGTGGGATGAGTCATGACTGTAATCCCAGCATTTGGGAGGCTGAGGCAAGCAGATCACCTGAGGTCAGGAGTTCAAGCCTGGCCTGGCCAACAAGGTGAAACCAGGTCTCTACTAAAAATACACAATTAGCTGGGCATGTTGGCAGGTGCCTGTAATTCCACCTACTCAGGAGGCTGAGATAGGAGAATCACTTGAACCTGGGAAACAGAGGTTGCAGTGAGCCAAGATCGTGCCAGCTCCAACCTGGGTGACAGAGTGAGACACTGTCTCAAAAAAAAAAAGGCTGGGCACGCTGGCTCATGCCTGTAATCCCAGCACTTTGGGTGGCAAGGGGAGCACATCACCTGAGGTCAGGAGTTCGAGGCCAGCCTGCCCATGGCGTGGTGAGACCTCATCTCTACAAAAGTTAAAAACGAGTTGAGTTAGAACTTGAGAAGAAGTGCTAAGGAAAGTAAATTTAAAAGAAGACTGGGTGTGGTGGTTTATGTCTGTAATCCCAGCACTTTGGGGTGCTGCCGCAGGACAATTGTTTTCTTTTGCTTTGTTTTTGAGATGGAGTTTCACTCTGTCGCCCAGGCTGGAGTGCAGTGGCGGGATCGCGGATCACTGCAACTTCCACCTCCTGGATTCAAGACATTCTCCTGCCTCAGCTTCCCAGATAGCTGGGACTACAGGCGTATGCCATGACACCCAGCCACTTTTAGTATTTTTAGTAGAGACAGGGTTGGCCATGATGGGCTCAATATTCTGACCTCATGGTGAGGCAGGAGGATTGCTTAAAGCCGGGAGTTCGAGGCCAGCCTGGGCAACATAGCAAAATTCCATCTTTACAAAAAATACAGAAAATTAGTGAGGCGTAATGGTGCACACCTGTGGTCCCAGCTACTCTGGAGGCCAAGGAAGGAGAATCACTTGAGCCCAGGAAGGTCAAGGCTGCAGTGAGCTGTGATTGTGCCACTGCACTCCAGCCTGGATGAGAGACTGAAACCCTGTCTCAAAAAGACAAAAAAATTAGCCAGGTGTGATAGCGCACACCTGTAGGTTTAGCCAGGTGTGATAGCGCACACCTGTAGGTTTAGCCAGGTGTGATAGCGCACACCTGTAGGTTTAGCTACTCGGCAGGCTGAGGTGGGAGGATCACTTTTTTGGTTGACTTGATTACGCCACTGCCTTCCAGGCTGGGCCACAGAGGGAGACTGTTTCAGAATGAAAAGTTAAAAACCAGGGTTCCATTCTTGCTAGCAGTCTGGTGGAATTAAGAGAAAGACTTTTCTCAGGATAATTGATGACCAAGGGGGAAGTGTATGTGGGTAACCCCCCACACAGGCACTGAGGAATGAGAGCTAAGCAGAACCCTGGCACAGTTAGGGCTTGAGGAATATCTCAGTTTATAGTGTTACTACTCAGCTATTTCCTTTTATATAATCCTTTACACAATCACATATTAGTTTATAGAATTAGGGCTTGACAAATCCCTTTATATAATCCTCTATATATAATCATATAATAGTTGATAGTATGAGTGCCTAAAGAATATTTCCCTACATATATACCTATAATTATATCTTAGTTCTTAATCGGAGGAATGCCTAGAGTGGACACAGTGCAGAGCATGAATTAAGGAATAAGCAGCTTATAATCAGAGGAATGCCTGGAGCAGACACAGTGCAGAGCATCATTTAAGGGAAAAACAGTTATACCAGGACAAGGATCCATGGCCCAGGCGGCAGCGTTCAGTATCGTAAAGATACCCGCTGTGAGGCAGGCTTGGGGCGAGAGCCACTCCTCCTGATAAAGGAGTTGTAGGACCCCGCTCCAGTTCTTGTGGGAGGCCGCCCTCAGACCGGCAATCCACCTTGGTGACTGTGAACTCGATCAGCTCTTGCTACTGTGCTGCCCATAGAACCCATTGGAAGCTGCCGGCAGGTGGCGGTAACCCTGACAGCTCTGTCACTGCTGTGTGACTCAAAGCATCCTCCCATAAATCTTAGAAGTAGTTTGTCCATAGATAGAGGTATTGCACACTGCACCCTCTTCACTGCGCACGGCCCACCTTCAAACCTCGGTGACTGGCCGGGCGCGGTGGCTCACGCCTATAATCCCAGCACTTGGGAGGCCCAGGCGGGTGGATCACGAGGTCAAGAGATCGAGACCATCCTGGTCAACAAGGTGTAACCCCGTCTCTAGTAAAAATACAAAAATTAGCTGGGCACGGTGGTGTGCGCCTGTAGTCCCAGCTACTCGGGAGGCTGAGGCAGGAGAATTGCTTGAACCCAGAAGGCGGAGGTTGCGGTGAGCCGAGATCGTGCCATTGCACTCCAGTCTGGGTGACAACAGTGAAACTCCAGCTCAAACAACAACAACAACAACAAAAAACCTCGGTGACCTAATGGGGGTGGGCCCCTTACTGCGCATGGTCCTTGCCTTCGTGGGAATGGGCCCCTTGCTGTGCACTGTCCACCTCCCGGCCTAGGTGACCTAATGGGGGTGGACCCCATGTTTTATTGCTCATGACCCTATCACTGTCCTTAAAGATGGCCCCTAACCTATACACAATAAATACTCATGCTTCTGGACATTCGGGGCCTCGCCTGACTCCGCTCATAGGTGGCATGGCCCCCGGAGCCCAGCTTCGTTTTTCTTGTCCTTCTGTGTCCTGCCTCTTTATTTCTCAGCTCCTGCACCTCAGCACAGCATAAGGCTCACCCCAAGACCCTGTGGGGCCCTCAGCCTTACATCTGGCTCCCAACAGCCCTACAGTGTAGCCCAAAGCTTCATAAACTCCCCACTCAACTAATCTAACAGGTACACGGAAGCCACCTTTGAGATTCAGACGTGCAGCGCTTGCTGTGGTCCAGGCACGGCCAGGATGGGAGGAGAATAGGGTTCCTAACAGGGTCCTGGCTTACACCGGGTCTCTCTGGCTCCATCAGCCAGCCTCCTCCTGAGGCTCTGCTTGAGGATGACTCTCTGCCTGTGCACCCTCCCGACGGGCTGACCTGTCTCTGGTCCACACCATTGCCTTCGGCCAGCAGATTGCAACGTGTCTGAGTCAGGCTGTGCAGGAGTCTTTGTGGTGGTGGTGGTGGGGGGAGTGGTTTCAAGGATTCTGAATTCTCATTCCTGCTCCATACCCAGCTCATGAATCCAGGCCCCACTCTGTGCCTCAGGTCACACCGCAGAGCATTTGTGGTGCTGAATGTGGTGACCTAAGCAATCAACACAAAGCCAGCTGCCGGGGAACAGGCCCTTGGGCTGAATCCCTTCCCTGGTTCCAAGGCCACCGCTAGGGGATGAGGAGGCGGCCTCTGGGGTCCTCCCCGGTCTCTACTTCCCCAGGGCTTTGAGGCACATCAGCTTCCCCCAGCCACTCCTTTCACGAATTCTTATGTTCGTAAGAAAACAGCCTGTTCTGCGACAGGGTCTCTCTCTGCCCCCCAGGCTGTTTAAGAGATAGGGTCTCGGCCGGGCGCCGTGGCTGACGCCTGTAATCCCAGCCCTTTGGGAGGCCGAGGCGGGTGGATCACGAGGTCAAGAGATCGAGACCATCCTGGTCAACATGGTGAAACCCCGACTCTACTAAAAGTACAAAAAATTAGCTGGGCATGGTGGCGCGTGCCTGTAATCCCAGCTACTCGGGAGGCTGAGGCAGGAGAATTGCCTGAACCCAGGAGGCGGAGGTTGCGGTGAGCCGAGATCGTGCCATTGCACTCCAGCCTGGGTAACAAGAGCGAAACTCCGTCTCAAAAAAAAAAAAAAAAGAGAGAGAGATAGGGTCTCAGCCGGGCACTGTGGCTCATGTCTGTAATCCCAGCACTTTGGGAGGCTGAGGCGGGCGGATCACCTCAGGTCAGGAGTTCGAGATCAGCCTGGGCCAACATGGTGAAGCCCTGTGTCTGCTAAGAAATAACAATTAGCCAGGCATTGTGGCGGGCACCTGTAATCCCAGCTCCCTGGGAGGCTGAGGCAGGAGAATCGCTTGAACCCGGGAACAGGGGGTTGCAGTGAGCCGGACAGTGCCACTACGGGCCAGCCTAAGAGACAGAGCAAGACTCTATCTCAAAAAAAAAAAAAAGAGATGGGGTCTCGCTATGTTGCCCAGGCTGGTCTGGAACTCCTGGGGTCTCGCTATGTTGCCCAGGCTGGTCTGGAACTCCTGGGCTCAAGTGACCCTCCAGCCTCGGCCTCCCAAAGTGCAGGGACCCCTGCGTGGGGACCGTTTGCCGTCGGGAGGAGGAACAGCGCTGCTCGGCGCCTCCCTCGGCTTGGCCGGCCAGGTGGTCTCTTCAGGACCAACCCCAGGCATCCCTTGTAAGAACCACGCCTGAGGGGCCGCCGCCTTCCCGCGCGAGATGCCGCGCTGATTACACCACGGCGTTGCGAATCCCAGCCCGCCGTTCTCCCGCACAGGCGCCTCCGCTATGACGCACAAGGCCGCGTCGCGACGCCTGGAGCTTAAGGGCGTGGCCTGGGTGCCACCAGCCAATGGACGCGCGCGCCTGGCCGCAGCCAATAGGAAGGCAGCACGGGCTCAGCGCGGGCTCAGACGCAGTGAGTCGCCGCCGAGGCGGCTGGAGCTTACGCTATGTCCGACTCGCGGGTCCCGAACTCCTCGTCAGGCCAGGGCTCAGGCGGCCGCCGGAGGTCCTGGGCCGAGCTGCTGGGTAGGCGGGCGTGGGCGGCGCCGGGCCCGGGACGGGTTCCCGGGTACCCCGCCCCCTCTCGCCCGAGCCTCTGCCAGTCCGATCCCAGGAGGCCGCGCTCGGGCGGCTGCGCGGGGTGGGCGCTGGGCTGGGGCGGTGCGGCTGCCTCGGACCCGGCCTCGACCCCGCCGCCGGGGCGCCCCCTTCTTTCCCGAACGCCGCTTCCGCCGGCTGCCCTGTCAGAGCCGGGTCTGGGGTGCGCGGCTCCGCGAACCCCGGTTCTTTCGGGGTACGCCTGCCAGGCTCCCGCGGCCTGGGGTTCCCCGCAGCGCAGAGGCCGCCCCTCGCCAACCTACCCCGGGCTTCCCTACCCCGGGCCCTCCTGGGCCGTCTTCCCCGCTGTGTGCGCGGGGCCGTTTCCCTTGGTTTCCCGAGACCTGCGCCCTGGGGAGGACGGCCGGCCCCTGTTCGGGAGGGTGTCCCGGTGGGTCTCCCGTCGCGGCCTCCTGCGTGTCCAGCCGGGGACCCCTGTGTCCACAGCGCCGTGACGCTTGGAACTGACTTTTCTCCGTAGCTGGAAGGGTCAAGAGGCAGAAATACAATCCTGAGAGGGCACAGAAATTAAAGGAATCAGCTGTGCACCTCCTGAGAAGCCGCCAGGACCTGAGTGCCCTGTTGCTCGAGGTAAGAGGAAGCGGGTGTCCCTCTGCCGGCAGATTGAGATTCGGGGTTTTTGAGCCCGGCCCTGGCAGAGCCTTCCTAAGAAAACCCCCGAGGCGGCGGGTACGAGGGCCTGGTCCGCAGAGGGGAGGGTCGCCTGAGCCCAGGAGTTCTGACCAGTCTGGGCAACAGGGTGAGACCTTGCCTCTTTTATTTAAAAAAAAAAAAAAGGACGGTAACAGTGTCTCAGGCCTGCAATTCCATCACTTTGGGAGGCTTAGGCACGTGGATCACCTGAGATGAGGCGTTCGAGACCAGCCTGGCCGACATGGCGAAGCCCCCTCTCTACGTCTCTACTAAAAATAGAAAAAAAATAGCCGAGCCTGGTGGCGCCCACATGTGATCCCAGCTACGCGCGCTCGACCGAGAGACCTCGCCATTGCACGCCAGTCTGGGCAACAAGAATGAAACTTCCTCGGTCGAGCTCTGTGGCTCACTCCTGTAACCCCAGCACTTTTGGAGGCCGACGCAGGTGAATCACGAGGTCAAGAGTTCGAGACCAGCCTGGCCAACATGTTGAAACCCCCGTCTCTACTAAAAATACAAAAATTATCTGGGCATGGTGGCACGCGCCTGTAATCCCAACTGCTCAGGAGGCTGAAGCAGGAGAACTGCTTCAACCAGCATCCGGGAGGTGGAAGTTGCAGTGAGCCAAAAAATTGTAAATAGCCCAGTAGGCAAGCATTAATTACACACAGCTTTTGTTTATTCATAGAACTTGAATTTTTTTTTTTTTTTTTTTGCGACCTCTCATTCTGTCACCCAGGCTGGAGTACAATGGCATGATCTTGGCTCACTGCAACCTCCGCTTCCCAGGTTCAAGCAATTCTCTTGAACCTGGGCTAATTTTTTTTTTTTTTTTTTTTTTTTTTTGGTAACGGAGTTTTGTTCTTGTTGCCCAGGCTGGAATCGCTCACTGCAACCTCCGCCTCCCAGGTTCAAGGGATTCTCTTGCCTCAGCCTCCCTTGTAGCTGGGATTACAGACATGTACCTCCATGCCCAGCTAATTTTGTATTTTTAGTAGAGACGGAATTTTTCCGTGTTGGTCAGTCTGGTCTCAAACTCTTGACTTCAGGTGTTCCGCCCACCTCAGCCTCCCAAAGAGCTGGGACTACAGATGTGAGCCACTGCACCCATCCCAGAGCTCAATTTTTTAAAATGGAGTTCATTGTGTTCTGGATTCTAGGTAGAAGGTGTACAGTGTAAAAAATTGTGTCTCAGCAACTTGATCGACTGTGGCAGTTCTGAGGCCCATGCTAATCATTCTAGTTCATTTATAGGTAAGTTCTAGCTTCGTTTTCTTTATAATCGAATTGCAGAAAAGTTTTTATATAGTAACCATCATTTTCTAAATTAAGTAAAAACTTAAATTTCCTCAGATGATGGATTTCCATTTGTGTGTTTAGTCAAAATTCTAAATGATGTTTTTGTGACTTGCTTTTGGCCTTGTTACGATGCTGTGTTTGAAAACAGTGTTTGGCTCATCCTGAGGCTCAGAAGCTGTTGGCTACAGAGTGTCCCTTGGAAAAACATGAGAGATGGCAGCAACAGGGATGTGCTTCTCACTCGTGAAGTGTGAGGCAGGTTGTGCTGTGCCCAGGAGAGTAGATGGGAAAACAAGTAATTTTCTAGGTACCTCCTTCTCCCCCCAACTTGAGAGTGGGAGACAGGGAAAGTTCTGGGTCAACAACAGTTATTTTCTGATCCTTCACATCTTTATTATGTAGTGACTTGTTTCAGAAAAAAATAGTAATTGTTTTACATTTTTATTCAAATAACCTTCAGTAATAGGGCTCCCTTGACAGCTGATTACTCAGTGGCATTGGTAACTGATACAGATTTTTACTTCCATAATTATATTTGAATTTCACAAATTATACATTTTTCATTCCAAGGAATCAAGTTCAGCCACACAGATAAACCTTTAATTCGTTAATTTTTGAGTTTGTTTTATTCTGCTAAAGATATAGCTAGTACACACACATACACAAAACCTGTGATAAAAATGAACTTTCTCGGGCTGGGCGCAGTGGCTTGAGCCTGTAATCCCAGCACTTTGGGAGGCCGAGGCGGGTGGATCACAAGGTCAAGAGATCGAGACCATCCTGGTCAACATGGTGAAACCCTGTCTCTACTAAAAATACAAAAAATCAGCTGGGCATGGTGGTGCACGCCTGTAATCCCAGCTACTTGGGAGGCTGAGGCAGGAGAATTGCCTGAACCCAGGAGGCGGAGGTTGCGGTGAGCCGAGATCGAGCCATTGCACTCCAGCCTGGGTAACGAGCGAAACTCCATCTCAAAAAAAAACAAAAACTCAACTTTCTCATAAGATACATTGGAAACAAATGACTAGAAATTGGCATTGTTGGCTAGGTGCGGTGGCTCGTGCCTGTAATCCCAGCACTTTGGGAAGCCAAGGCTGGCCGATCACCTGAGGTCAGGATTCAAGACCAGCCTGGTTAATGTGGTGAAACCCTGTCTCTACTAAAAATACAAAATTGGCCGGGTGTGGTGACTCACGCCTGTAATCCCAGCACTTTGGGAGGCTGAGGCAGGCTTATTGCCTAAGCTTAGGAGTTCGAGACCAGCCTGGGCTATAGGGTCTAGCCCTACTAGGGTTGTGGGGTGTCCCCTATTGCAGTGCTGAGGTGCAGGTCTGAGAAAAAGTTAAAACACCAAAGGACAGAATAAGAGTAGTTGGGCTCCACTTACAAGCGGAGTCTGGCGATGTCTTGAGTGTCAGGGTGCGTCTGTATTTATTAGCTATGGGTTGGGAAGGGTAGTGAGTCAGGTCATCTTAAGGACAGTGATAGGGCCAAGACAGTCTCGTGACTGATAAGCAAGGAGTTCACCCCCATTAGGTCACCGAGGCAGGGTGGTGGGCAGTACGAGGGGTCCACTCCCATTTGGTTACCGAGGCTAGGAAAATGGGCAGTGTGCAGTAAGGAGGGTGCAGTGTGCAACATCACTTATCCAGGGGCAGGCTGCTTCTAAGGATATCTGTGGGAGGAGTCTTTGAGTCAGCCTAGTAGTGAGAGAGCTGACAGGGTATACGGCCACCTAGCTGCGATTATACTGGAGGGGTTTTAAGCCCTCGGACGTTCACGGGATTGCCGACCTGAGGCCAACTTTCCGCAAGAAGCGGACACAAGGTAACTACAACTCCCTTACAGGAGGAGTAACTCTTGCTCCAAGCTTGCCGTACAGCGTGTATCTTTATGATACTGGATGCTGCCGCCTGGGCCGACCTGCCATGTAGTGCATGCCCTTTCAGGCAGGGACACTACTGCCTGGGTCATTGATTCTTGTCCTGGTATGGCTGTTTTTCCCTGGTACGTGCTCCGTATCATGTCTGCTCTAGCTACTACTCTTGTCTACAAACTAAGATATGATCATATAAAAAGTAAATAAATGAGAAGTAAGTTATTCTTCAGGCATCGATAGTTCCAGGGGTCTGCTTAGCTCTTCCTCCTCAGTGCCCAGAGTTGGGGTTACCCACAGTGGGCAACACGGTGAAACCCTATCTCTACTAAAATACAAAAAATTAGCTGGACATTGTGGTGGTCGCCTGTAGTCCCAGCTACTCAGGGGGCTGAGGCATAAGAATTGCTTGGGGCCGGGCGCGGTGGCTCACGCCTGTAATCCCAGCACTTTGGGAGGCTGAGGTGGGTGGATCACGAGGTCAGGAAATCTAGACCATCCTGGTGAACATGGTGAAACCCCGTCTCTACTAAAAATACAAAAAATTAGCTGGGCACGGTGGTGTGTGCCTGTAATCCCAGCTACTCGGGAGGCTGAGGCAGGAGAATTGCCTGAACCCGGGAGGCGGAGGTTGTGGTGAGCCGAGATGGCGCCATTGCACTCCAGCCTGGGTAACAAGAGTGAAACTCCATCTAAAAAAAAATAAATAAATAAAATAAAGGCAGTTTTCTGTGCCTCATCTTAAACTAAGGCATTTTTGCCGGGCGCGGTGGCTCACGCCTGTAATCTTAGCACTTTGGGAGGCCGAGGCGGGTGGATCACGAGGTCAAGAGATCGAGACCATCCTGGTCAACATGGTGAAACCCTGTCTCTACTAAAAAAACACAAAAAATTAGCTGGGCACGGTGGCATGTGCCTGTAATCCCAGCTACTCAGGAGGCTGAGGCAGGAGAATTGCCTGAACCCAGGAGGCGGAGGTTGCAGTGAGCCGAGATCGTGCCATTGCACTCCAGCCTGGGTAACAAGAGCAAAACTCCATCTCAAAAAAAAATAAATAAATAAAATAAGGCATTTTAAACTGTAAGTCTTTTGTTTTAGATTTTGTCTCATGTTTTAAGAGAAAGCTGTGGTTTTGTTTTGTCTTTAAGGCTCTGCTTTGCAGGATCAGGCCTCACGACTGGGGGTTCCTGTGGGTATTCTCTCAGCCACGATGGTTGCCTCTGGTGTGGGACAGATCTGTGTGGCTCCAGTTGATCCCAGCCACCCTGTGCTGCTGACCGTGGAGCAGAGAGTAAGACCAGTAAACATGAGGAAACCTGCCCTTGTTGCTTTTAAGCTGGTTGGGAAAATAGGACATTTCTTTAATAGTGTTTCAGGTAAGGCTGGGCGTGGAGGCTTACGCCTGTAATGTCAGCACTTTGGGAGGCCAAGGCAGGCGGATCGAGAGGTCAGGAGTTCCAAGACCAGCCTGACCAATATGGTGAAACCCCGTCTCTACTAACAATATAAAAATTAGCTGGGCACGGTGGTGCATGCCTGTAATCTCAGCTGCTTGGGAGGCTGAGGCAGGAGAATCTCTTGAACCCTGGAGGTGGGGTTGCAGCGAGCTGAGATCGTGCCTCTGCTCTCCAGCTTGGGCGATGGAGTGAGACTCCGTTTCCAAAAAATTTATGTATTGTTTCAGGTAATTTGTCTCTGTTTTTAAAAACATTTAATCTCTCTTTTCAGAAGAAGCTGTCTTCCCTGTTAGAGATCGCTCAGTATTTATTGGCACACAATATGTTCTCCCGTCTTTCCTTTTGTCAAGAATTGTGGAAAATACAGGTAAATTTGAGATTGCAAATCTGACTTTCCACTGTTTGAGGCAATGTTCTGTTGATCTGGATGAGAGTCCCTAGGTTTTCTTGGAAATTCTGCCAAGCTTCTTATTAATTACAGAGTGGATGAAACGGGTTTAGAAATCCTCCGTGGATTGGAAAGAGGTACCTTGAGTTACCATTTTTGTCACTGTTCACCCATCGTTAGTAATATTTATTACAATAAAGTATACCTTAAAAACATGATGTTCAGCCTTCTTGGGTATATTATTATGAAGAATTTTCCAGGGCAGTAAACTATTAAAAATGTTTCTGTTTTTGTTATTGCTTTTTTTTTGAGATGAAATCTCTGTTGCCCAGGCAGGAGTGCGGTGGTGTGATCTGGGTCACTGCAACCTCTGTCTCCTGGGTTCAATCGATTCTCTTGCTTCAGCCTCCTGAGTAGCTGAGATTACAGGCACCCAACACTGCACCTGGCTAATTTTCTTACGTTTTTAGTAGAGATGGGGTTTTACCATGTTGCTAAGGCTGGTCTTGAACGCCTGACCTCGTGATTCACCTGCCTCAGCCTCCCAAAGTGCTGGGATTACAGGTGTGAGCCACTGCACCCAGCCTGTAATTTTTTTTGGTTTTTAGAGGTAGAGTCTTCCCTTGTTCCCCAGGCTGGTCTTAAATTCTTGACCTCAAGCATTTTTCCGGGGCAGTGTAGAAAACTTTATTTATGTTTCTTTTTTTGTTAAACTATTTAAAACATGTGCGCGCGTGTGTGTGTGTGTGTTTAATATTTTTTCAGAGACAGGGTCTTGCTGTATTGTCCATTCTGGTCTTGAAGTCCTGGCCTCAAGCAGTCATCCCTCTAGGGCCTCCCAGAGTGCTGGTATTGCAGGCATGAGGTACCATGCCCAGCCTAATAATAAAATATTAAAAGGATTCTTAACTTGTCTTTTTGAAGCATTTTGAAGTCAGTAGAATTACAGTCTTTTGATGAATGGAAAGAATGCAAAACCCTTGGCGGTACTAAATGAAATTAGTAAATACATAGAAGAAGCAAAGAACCAAAGTGATCGTGTTTTTATGGGCTTTTTCCATTCTTTTCTCTTCTTTTTTTTTTTTGAGACAGAGTCTTACTCTGACGCCTAGGCTGGAGTGCAGTGGCGTCATCTCAGTTCACTGCAAACTCTGCCTACCAGGTTCAAGCGATTCTCCTGCCTTAGCCTCCTGAGTAGCTGGGATTACAGGTGTAGACCACCACCCCTGGCTAATTTTTGTATCTTTAGTAGAGATGAAGTTCCACCTTGTTGGCCAAGATTGTCTTTAATTCCTAAACTCAGGTGATCTGCCCATGTTGGCCTCCCAAAGTGTTGGGATTACAGGCGTGAGCCACTGCCTGGCCTTTCCCATTCTTTTATCCAGCATACATTATAGAGTTCCTTAGATTTGTCAGGTATTGCTGTGGCCCCTGCACTCATTGTCATCTAGTTGGGGAAACAAGCCACTAAATTTACAAGAATTGCGACGATACCGGTGCTCACAGATTTGCAAAGAAGGAAATGGATGTGCAAATCAGATTGGAGAGTTAGGAAAGCCTCCCTGCACAATGTGAAAAGTGTGAATTAGGGGGATGAGAAGGGGAGGCCAGTATGACGGGCACAGGGTCTGAGCTGAGCATGAAGGTTATCAAGTGGGAGAGGGTTGAGTGGGAAAGACACGGGACATACACAGGCCACAGTGAAGCCTGACCTTTGTCCTGGAAGCTATGAGGAGCCAGTGAAGGCTTCTAAAGTGGAGTATGTGTTTTGGAATACTGTGTTGCCCACAGTGTGGAGAAACGGAAGTAGTTTAGAGCTCAGATGGGGAGCTAGTCAGGGCCTGCAGCCCAGGCAGGGTGCTGGTCAGGGCCTGTGCCAAAGCAGTAGGAAGAGGGAAGGAGGAGGAGTAAGTGTCGGGTAACAATGTACAAGTGTCCGAAAGCCAGTGAGTTTGAAAACCAGAACAATTTTGTAAAAAAATGACTTATTTCCGGCTCTACTTTTTGGTTGATGTTAATTTTCAGTAGGGCACGGTGGTTAAGCATCTAGGTTGAACATTTTGTAGGAAAATGCATGTATAAAGGACTCAAATGCTGTTATTTATTTTCTTCAGAATTCTTTGTTGCTTGAAGCAGTGTGGCATCTTCATGTGCAAAGCATTGTGAGCCTGCAGGAGTTGCTGGAAAGGTAGTGTGCTAATGATTCGGTGTTACTGTTTTCACGGTCTAGATTAATTACATTTCAAAGCCAAAAATCAGGATCATGCGTTGCATATTTATACTAGACTAGGCCTGGAGAAACTATTGCTTTATTATTTCAAGAGATCATTTGTTTTGTGGTTTTTTTTTTTGAGACGGAGTTTCGCTGTTGGTACCCAGGCTGGAGTGCAAGGGCACGATCTCGGCTCACCACAACCTCCACCTTCTGGGTTCAAGCAATTCTCCTGCCTCAGCCTCCTGAGTAGCTGGGACTACAGGCTGCACCACCATGCCCAGCTAATTTTTGTATTTTTAGTAGAGACGGGGTTTCACTTTGTTGACCAGGATGGTCTCGATCTCTTGACCTCATGCTCGTGATCCACCTGCCTCGGCCTCCCAAATTGCTGGGATTATAGGCGTGAGCCACCGCACCCAGCCTGAGAACATTTGTTTTAATTGAAGTCTTTTTTTTTTTTTTGGAGACAGGGTGGATCACCTGAGGTTAGGTATTCGAGACCAGCGTGACCAACGTAGAGAAACCCTGTCTCTACTAAAAATACAAAATATAGCCAGGCATGGTGTTGGGTGCCTGTAATCCCAGCTGCTAGGGAGGCTGAGGCAGGATAGTCGACTGAACCAGGAGGCAGAGGTTATAATGAGCTGGGATGGCACTTGCTCTCCAGCCTGGGTGCTGGAGCAGGACTCTGTCTCAAAAAAAAAAAAAAAAAAAAAAATACACATTTTTCCATGAGACAGCCTCACTGTTGCCCAGGCCGGAGTGCAGTGGCAACATCATAGTTCCCTATAGCCTCAACTACTGGGCTCAAGTGATCTTTCCACCTCTGCCTCCCAAGTAGCTGGAACTACAGGTGTGCATCACCATACCTGGCTACATTTTTTAATTTTTTTTTTTTATTCTTCGTAGAGGCAGAGTCTCACTTTGTTGCCCAAGCTGGGGTATTTTTTTTTTTTTTTTAATTATAGATGTCCGGGGCGGGTCTCACTCTGTTATTGGGATCTTACTCTGTTGCTCAGGCTGGTCTCAAACTCGGGGGCTCAAGCACTCTTCCCACTTCAGCCTCCCAAAGTGCTGGCATTACAAGCATGAATCACTGCACCTGGCAAGGAATAGTTTTTTTTCTTTTTTTGAGATGGAGTCTCGCTCTGTCGCCAGGCTGGATTGCCGTGGCATGATCTCGGCTCACTGTAATGTCTGCCTCCCGGTTTCAAGTGATTCTCCTGCCTCAGCCTCCTGAGTAGCTGGGACTACAGGTGTCCGCCAGTGTGCCTGGCTAGTTTTTGTATTTTTAGTAGAGACGGGGTTTCCCCATGTTAGCCAGGATGGTCTTGATCTCTTGACCTTGGGATCCATTCACCTTGGTCTCCCAAAGTGCTGGGATTACAGGCATGAGCCACCGTGCCCGGCCTTGTTTTGTTTTCTTTTGAGACAGTCTCGCTCTCTCAGGCTGGAGTGTAGTGGCACAATCTTGGCTCACTGAAACCTCTTCCTTCTGGGTTGAAGAGATTCTCTTGTCTCATCCTCCCTACTAGCTGGGATTACAGATGCCTCCCACGATGCTTGGCTAGTTTTTATATTTTTATTAGAGATGGAGTTTCGCCTTGTTGGCCAGGCTGGTCTTGAACTCTTGACCTCAGGTGGTCCACCTGCCTCAGCCTCCCAAAGTGCTGGGATTACAGGCATGAGCCACTGCACCCACTTAGAAATAATGCTTTGGAAGCAGGAAACACAGGGACCAATAATGATGACTTAGCAAACCTGAGGAAAACCTATCCTGAGTCAGCAGTGTAGAAAGAAGAGACCCGTTTAGCTTGTTGCCTTGATTGCTAAAAGCTCAAGGATTGGTAGCCTCAGGCTCCTCTGTAGGTAGCGGGTGAAAGACTCAGGAAGCATTGATTGAAAGTCTGGGGAAGGGGCATCTGTAATCTTGGATTTCCTCCCTTTCTCCTCTCCTAAGCCAGCAGAAGGCAGGAGGTTTATGTGTTCTCTAGTTTGGGGAAACTGTGAGGCACAGTGAAAAATAACATACTGGGCCAGGTGCTTGAGGCCAGGAGCTTGAGACCACCCTGATGGACAACATAGCAAGACCCCATCAACATTAAAAAAAGAAAATGCCGTACTGAAACTAGGTGGTGGTGTTACATAGGCTCACATCAGGATATATATATATATGTATATGTATATATGTCTGTATATTTATTCATTTATTTATCTTATTTTTTATTCTTTTTTCCTTTTTTTTTTTGAGATGGAGTTTCGCTGTTGTTACCCAGACTGCAATGGCACGATCTCGGCTCACCGCAACCTCCGCCTTCTGGGTTCAAGCAATTCTCTTGCCTCAGCCTCCTGAGTAGCTGGGATTACAGGCACGCGCCACCATGCCCAGCTAACTTTTGTATTTTTAGTAGAGACGGGGTTTCACCTTGTTGACCAGGATGGTCTCGATCTCTTGACCTCGTGATCCACCCGCCTCAGCCTCCCAAAGTGCTGGGATTATAGGCATGAGCCACCGCTCCTTGGCTCACTGCAACCTCCACCTCCTAGGTTCAAGCCATTCTCCTGCCTCAGCCTCCCGAGTAGCTGGGACTATAGGCGCGTGCCACCATGCCCAGCTAATTTTTGTATTTTTAGTAGAAATGGGGTTTTACCATGTTGACCAGGATGGTCTCGATCTCTTGACCTCATGATCTGCCCGCCTTGGCCTCCCAAAATGCTGGGATTATGGGCATGAGCCACCGTGCCCGACCGATGGATGTATTTTTTGAGATGGAGTCTTGTTCTGTCACCCAGGCTGGATGCAGTGGTGCGATCTTGGCTCACTGCAACTTCCACCTCCCAGGTTCAAGTGATTCTTTCACCTCATCCTCCCAAGTAGCTGGGGTTACAGGTGCCCGCTCCTATGCCCAGCTAATTTTTGTATTTTCAGTAGAGATAGTGTCTTACTGCCTTGGCCAGGCTTGCCTTGAACTCCCGACCTCAGGCAGTCCGCCCACGTCAGCCTCCCAAAGTGCTAGGATTATGTGCGTCAGCTACTGTACCCAGCCTACATCAGGACTGTTTTTTTTTTTTTTTTTTTTGAGTTAGGGTCTTGCTTTGTCTCCCAGGCTGGAGTTCAGACTCACAATCACAACTCACTGCAGCTTTAATCTCCTAGGCTCAAGCAATCCTTCCACTTAACCCTCCCGAGTACCTTGTACTACAGGCATGAGCCAGCATACCTAGCTAATTTAAAATATTTTTGCTTTTTTGAGACAGAATCTCCCTCTGTGGCCAGGCTGAAGTGCGGTGATGTGATCTCGGCTCACTGCAGCTTCCACTTCCCAGCTTTAAGCGATTCTCTTGTCTCAGCCTCCCAAGTAGCTGGGAGTACTGGGGTGCGCCACCACGCCCAGCTAATTTTTGTAGTTTTAGTAGAGATGTGGTTTCACTATGTTGGCCACGCTGGTCTCGATCTCTTGACCTTGTAATCGACCTGCCTTGGCTTCCCAAAGTGCTGGGATTATAGGCATGCACCACTGCACCTGGCCTAAACTATTTTTTAAGATGGAGTTTTGCTTTCACCTAGGCTGGAATGCAGTGGCACGATCTCTACTCACTGCAATCTCTGCCTTTTGGTTTTAAGCAATTATTTGGCCTCAGCCTCCTGAGTAGCTGGGATTACAGATGCCCACCACCATGCCTGGCTAATTTTTGTTTTTGTTTTTGTTTCTGTTTTTAATAGAGACAGGGTTTCACTATGTTGGCCAGTTTGGTCTCAAACTCCTGACGTCATGATTGCCTGCCTTGGCCTCCCAAAGTGCTTGGATTACGGGTGTGAGCCACTGCTCCCTACCTTAACTTTTTTTTTTTTAAGATGGTGTCTCACTCTGTAGCCCAGGCTGGAGTGCAGTGGCATGATCTCGGGTCACTGCAACCTCCATCTCCTGGGTCCCGGTTCAAGCAATTCTCCTATCTCACCCTGTCAAGTAGCTCGGATTACAGGCACGAGCCACCATGTCCAGCTAATTTTTGTAGTTTTTTTAGTAGAGACAGGATTTCACCATGTTGGCCAGTCTGGTCTTGAACTTCTGACTTTGTGATCTGCCGACCTTGGCCTCCCAAAGTGCTGGGATTATAGGTGTGAGCCACTCTGCCTGGCCAAATTTATTTTTATAAAGGCAGGGGGATCTTTTCCTTATACCAAACAATTCAACATGAATTAAAGGACAAAAAATAATGAGTATATAAAAGTACTAGAAGAAATCATGCAAGACATTTTCTTTTTGAGACAGAGTCTTGCTTTATCGCCCAGGCTGGAGTGTGGTTGCGTGATCTTGGCTCACTGCAGCCTCTGCCCCCGCGTTCCAGAGATTGTCTTGTCTTAGTCTTCAGGTAGCTGAGATTACAGGCTCACGCCACCATAGCTGGTTCGTTTTTGTATTTTTAGTAGAGACACGGTTTCGCTATATTGGCCAGGCTTGCCTTCAACTCCTGACCTCAGGTGATCCATCTGACTTGGCCTCCCAAAGTGCTAGGATTACAGGTGTGAGCCACTTCGCATATCCAGGAAGAATATTTTCATAATCTTGAAGTAGGAATGCTTAAATATGACATAAAACCCAGAAGCTGTAAAAGATCAGTAAACTTAATTCCATGAAAAACATGCTTTCTGGCCTGGCACAGTGGCTCACGGCTGCCATCCAGGCACTTTGGGAGGCCGAGTCAGACGGATCACCGTTCAAGACCAGCCTGATTAACATGGTGAAATCTTGTCTTTATTAAAAATATAAATATTAATGGGATGTGATGGCATGTGCCTGTAATCTCAGCTACTCGGGAGGTTGAGGCAGGAGAATTGCTTGAACCTGGGAGGCAGAGGTTACAGTGAGCCGAAATCATGCCGTTGCACTCCAACCTGGGCAACAAGAGTGAAACTTCATCTCCAACAAAAAAAAAAATAAAAGAAAAAGCTGCTTCCTAGTATATACACACCTAATGTCAGAGCACCAAAATCTATGAAGCAAAAATGGGCAGAATCAGAGGGAGAAATAGACATTTCAGCAGTAATAGAGATTTCAATACCCGCTTTCAGTAATAGGTAGAACAAGTCAGATTAACAATGACACAGAAGTTGAAGGCTGCAAACTAGCTGACCTGACTGATGGTCAGTAGTAGCAGAATGCTATTTGTAAGTCCCAGTGCAACAGTCCCCAGGATAGACTGTAAGGTTCAGGCCATGGTCGGGCATGGTGGCTCACGCCTGTAATTCCACCACTTTGGGAGGCCAAGTCGGGCAGATCACCTGAGGTCAGGAGTTACAGACTAGCCTGGCCAACACGGTTAAACCACATCTCTAGTAAAAATACAATAATTGGCTGGGCTTGGTGGCAGGTGCCTGTAATTCCAGCTACTTGGGAGGCTGAGGCAGGAGAATTGCTTCAACCTGGGAGGTAGAAGTTGCTGTGAGCTGAGATCGTGCCATTGCACTCCAGCCTAGACGATGAGCGAAACTGTCTCAGAAAAGTAAAAAAAAAAAGGTTCAGGCCATAAAACAAATAGGAATAAATTTAGAAGGGTTGAAATCGTTCACAATACATTCTCCATCCATAAATGAGTTTACTTAGAATCAACAGCAGAAGGGAATTGGGAAAGGCCACAGTATTTGGAAGTTAAACAGCATACTGTGAAATAATCAGTGGGTCAAAGAAATCACAAGGGAAGTGAGAAAATAATGTGAGGTTTGGCGCAGCAGCTCGACCTAGTAATCCCAGAGCTTTGGAAGGCCTGGGTGAGTCTTTGAGCCTAGGAGTTTGAGAGCAGCTTGGGCAAAGTAGTAAGACGTCCAGCTGGGTGTGGTGGTACATGCCTGTTGTCCCAGCTACTCAGTAGGCTAAAGGGTAAGTATTACTTGAGCCTGGGAGGTTGAGGCTGCAGTGGGCTGTCATGGCATCACTGCACTCCTGCCTGGGTGAAGTGAAAATCTGTCTCAAAAAAAAACAAAAAACAAAAACAGAAAGCAAAAATTACTACGTAATGATGGGATTGAGTTGACCCAGGCATCCTTATCCGTGTTTGTCTCCAGCCATCCCGACATGCGTGCTGTGGGAGCGTGGCTATTTAGGAACCTGTGCTGCCTCTGTGAACAGATAGAAGCATCCTGCCAGCATGACGATGTCGCCAGGGCCATGCTTTCTGGTATGTTCACGACAAGACGTGCGTTCTTGGGTAAAACTCATTTTGATCAGTCATAACATGCCTTTTGCTATCATGAGCTCTGGGAAGCAGAACAGCCTCTCTCTACCCGTGTCCGTGGGGACCTGGCGTGACAACCTCCCAGTCTGAGCCTGTTGTGGGTTCGCGTTTAACTTGACTTGCAGAAATACTAGTAAGTTGGCCCATTGCCTTGTGTTAAGTATTTCCATGCACCTTCTCATAAAGTGACCCCCGTTGCCTCTGTTCTGAACCAGCAGACCCTTGCTTTGACAGTAATTCCTGAGGATGGACATTAGGAGAAAACTTAGGACTATAATGTTCCCCACAAACTAAGAAGGTGCCGGGAGACCAGAGAATGGCTTGGACGAGTGCATCTTAATGAGTAGTCGGGTTTGTCAGACTTACATCCAGGGCTTTTCCGGACAGCGGCAGGAGACCCCATCTCCGAGTCTCCCTTTTGGGCTGACGTTCTGGCTCTTTGCTTGCTGTGTTGAGCGATGAGACTATTTTCCTTGTTGAATTCTCAGATTCTCTCCAGGATGTTTGGGTTCTCAGGGATACCTACTGATGACACCTACAGATAAAAATTAGATGAGAAACTCACTTGTCAGGTAGCTTGTGGGTTTTTCCCTTTGCAAAAGACATTCTTTTTTCCTAAAATTTCTTGGTGGTATGAGCGACTTAGCATTCCTGAGCTCCTATAATCTGGTCCCAGATGGGTTAAATTACATTTAGAAAATTGTTCTGATTTTGGTCCTCTTGATCTTAATTTTTAAAAAGCTATGAATTCGTTTCCTCCCCCATGATGTTCCTCAGAATAGGATGCTTCTGGGTTCCTCTAGACCGTCTAATATTGGAGATTGGCGGGCAAGATGATCTGTAAGATCTCCCTTGGAAGCTACTTTTCTTAGAAAAAAAATTCAGCGGGGCATGGTGGCTCACACCTGTAATCAATTCTAGCATTTTGGGAGGCTGAGATGAATGGATCACAACGTCAGGAATTCAAGACCAGCCTGGCCCAGATGGTGAACTCTGTCTCTATTAAAAATATAAAAATTAGGCCAGGCATGGTGGCTCATGCCTGTAATCACAGCACTTTGGGAGGCCAAGGCGGGCGGATCACGAGGTCAGGAGATCGAGACCGTCCTGGCCAGCATGGTGAAACCCCATCTCTCTTAAAAATACAAAAATTAGTTGGGTGTGGTGGCGTTTGCCTATAATCCCAGCTACTCGGGAAGCTGAAGAAGGAGAATCACTTGAACCAGGGAGTCGGAGATTGCAGTGAGCCGAGTGCTCCATTGCACTCCAGCCTGGATGACAGTGAGACTCTGTCTCAAAAAAAAGAAAAAAAAAGGGGGGGTGGGTGCAGGTGTGTGTGTATGTGTGATACACACATACACACACACATATACACACATACGTGTGTGTGTGTGTGTGTGTATGTGTAAATTAGCTGGGCGTGGTGGTAGATGCCTATACTCCCAACTACTCGAGAGGCTGAGACAGGAGAATCATTATAACCTGGACGGCAGAGGTTATAGTGAACTAAGATAGCACCACTGTACTCCAGCCTGGGCAACAGAGTGAGATTCCGTCTCTAAAAAAAAAAGAAAAAAATGCTTACTATAAACTTGATTCATTATAAGTATTTCCCTTTCAAATAGAATTGCAAGAGGAAAAATCTGGGTCATCTAAGGGTTCTGATTGGTTGGGTTTGGTGAATGCCTGTGTGCCTGTGCAGGGTTCCCCTCAGGTTAGGAGCAGCTCACAGGTGTCCTGGTTGGCCCAAGCCATATGCACACCCACCCCTCTGAAGTAGATGGTCTGTGCGATTCACAGTTGCGTGGAGACCATGATATATATATAAATGCTTTGGTTTTGTGGTTTTTCAGATTTTGTGCAAATGTTTGTTTTGAGGGGATTTCAGAAAAACTCAGATCTGAGAAGAACTGTGGAGCCTGAAAAAGTGTCCCAGGTAGGAGGAAAAAGAAAGTGAAGAGTTTGGAGAATTGACCTCCTGAAAATAGGCTGCATCCTAAAGAGCAGTCCTTACCCCAGTGTTCAGCTGTGTCTATGTATTTCCTCATTAGAACGTGTTATTTGTGTGTATCTATGGGTACATGTAATACTTGTTGTGCATAGAACGTGTAATGACCAAGTGAGGGTGTTTAGAGTATCCATCACCTCGAGTATTTATCATTTCTGTGTGTTGGCAACGTTTCAAACACTCCAGTTTTTTTTGTAATATACGTTTTTTTTTTTTTTCTTTTTCTTTTTTTTTTATAAAGACGGGTTTCAACCGGGCGTGGTGGCTCACGCCTGTAATCCCAGCACTTTGGGAGGCCGAGGCGGGTGGATCACGAAGTCAAGAGATCAAGACCATCCTGGTCAACATGGTGAAACCCCGTCTCTACTAAAAATACAAAAAATTAGCTGGGCATGGAGGCATGTGCCTGTAATCCCAGCTACTCAGGAGGCTGAGGCAGGAGAATTGCCTGAACCCAGGAGGTGGAGGTTGCAGTGAGCCAAGATTGCGCCATTGCACTCCAGCCTGGGTAACAAGAGCAAAACTCCGTCTCAAAAAAACAAATAAAGAAAGACGGGTTTCACCATGTTGGTCAGACTGGTCTGGAACTCCCGACCTCCGGTGATCCGCCTGCCGTGGCCTCCAAAGTGCTTGGATTACAGGCGTGAGCAACCGCGCCCGGCCTGTAATACGCATTGTTACCTATTGCCACATTGCTCTGCTATGGAACATTAGAACTTCTAACTGTGTTTGTACCCGTTAACCAACTCTTCCTTACCCCACCCCATATACCCGTCCCATCTCTGGTGTGTCTCATTCCACTCTCTACCTCCACAAGATCCACTTTTTTTTTTTTGGTAGATGGAGTCTTTCTTGTTCTGTCGGCAGGCTGGAGTGCAGTGGCACGATTCCGGCTCACTGCAACTTCTGTTTTCCGGTTTCAAGCAATTCTTCTTGCCTCAGCCTCCTGAGTAGCTGGGACTACAGGCATCTACCACCAGTCCTGGCTAAATTTTTTTGTATTTTTAGTAGAGACAGGGTTTCACCATGTTGGCCAGGATGGTCTCAATCTCTTGAGCTCGTGATCCGCCTGCCTTGGCCTCCCAAAGTGCTGGAATTACAGGCGTGAGCCACCGCGCCTGGCCAAGACCCTCTGTCTAACTCCCTCATATGAGTGATATAACACGCAATATTTGCCCTTTTGTGCCTGGCTCATTTCACCTAATATAATGGCCTTCAGGTTCCATTCCTTTTGCTGTGAATGACAGAATTTTACTTAAAAAAAAATTTGCTGAGGCTGGACTCAGTGGCTCACGCCTGTGATCCCATCACTTCAGGAGGCCAAGGCAGGTGGATCCCCTGAGATCAGGAGTTCAAGACCTGCCAAACCAACGTGGTGAAACCACCCTCTACTAAAAATACAAAAAAATTAGCCAGCTGTGGTGGTGCATGCTTGTAGTCCCAGCTACAGGCAAGGAGGCAGGAGAATCACTTTAACCTTGGAGGTGGAGGTTGCACTGTGACGAGAATGTATCCCTGCGCTCCAGCCTGGGCAACATGAGACTCCATCAAAGCTGAATAGCATTCCATTGTGTGTATATATCATGCCCAGCTAATTCTTTATTTTTAGTAGAGATGGGATTTCACCATTTTGGTCAGGATGATCACGAACTCCTGACTTGTGATCTGCCCGCCTCGGCCTCCCAAAGTGCTGGGATTACAGGCACGAGCCACTGCACCCAGTCCTTTTTAGTTTAGTATGGTCCCATTTGTCTTTTTTTTTTTGCCTGTGCCTATGAGGTCTTAGCCCTAAAATCTTTGCTCAGAGCAGTGTCCTGAAGTGTTACCCCTACGTTTCTCCTTGTCATTTCATAGTTTTGGGACTTAATGTAAGTCTTTATCCGTTTTGAGTTGATTGTCGTATATAGTGAGAGATGTGGGTTCTGTTTCGTTCTCTATATAGATTACCAGTTTTCCCAGCACTTAGTTAATTTTTTTGGAGACAGAGTGTTGCTCTGCCACCCAGGCTGAGTTGCAGTGGCTCGATTTTGGCTCACTGCAACCTCCACCTCCCAGGATGAAGTGATCCTCCTGCCCTCAGCCTCCCGGGTAGCTGGGAATACAGGCGCCTGCCACCACGCCTGGATAATTTTTTTGTATTTTTAGTAGAGATGATGTTTCGTCATATTGGCTATGGTGGTCTCAAACTCCTGAACTCAGGTGATCCGCCTGCCTTGACCCTTCAAAGTGCTGGGATTACAAGCTGGAGCCACTGTGCCCGGCCTCCCAACACCATTTTCCACTTTTTTGGACGGTCTGTTCCTTCCCTCACGTATCCTTTTGAAATTTTTGTCTAAAATGAGCTGGCTGTGGCCAGGCATGGTGGCTCATGCCTGTAAACCCAGCATTTTGGGAGGCCAAGGTGGGTGGATTACCTGAGGTCAGGAGTTTGAGACCAACCTGGCCAGCATGGTGAAACCCTGTCTGTACTAAAAATATAAAAAATTAGCTGGGTGTAGTGGCACACACCTGTAGTCCCAGCTACTTAGGAGGCTGAGGCAGAAGAATCACTTAAACCCAGGAGGTGGAGGTTGCTGTGAGCCAAGATCCCACTGTTGCATTCCAGCATGGGTGACAGAGCAAGACTCCTCAAAAAAAAAATTAAGAAAAGCAGTGAGTTGACTATAAAGTTACGGATTTATTTCTGGATTCTCTGTTCTGTTTCTTTGGTCTGTGTGTTTACATCAGCATCGTGCTGTTTTCATTTCTATAGCTTTGTAATATATTTTGACGTCAGGCAATGTGATGTCTACAGCTTTGTCCTTTTCACTCAGGATTGCTTTGGTTATCTGTATTCTTTTTTTGGTTCCATGTGAATTTTAGAATCTATTTTCTATTTCTGTGAAGAATATTAGTGGTATTTTGATAGAGATTGCATTGAATCTGTAGATTGCCTTGGGTACCTCCCACATTTTCATTCCCTTTCGGATGTTCCTGAGCCAGGGCTCCCATTTTGCCTATACTGCAGTCTGTGGGCTTTGAGGAAGCCTGTTTTATTGTTGCCATGAGTTGCTCCCTGTGTAGTAGTATGCTTTAAATCCAGAAGGTGTAAGAAGGGAAATGGGCAGCGATACCTTCTCTCCATCTCCTGGCTCCGGAGGTGTTGAGGGTGAAAGGCTTTAGTTCCACAGCCCAGAATCAAGGCCTGTGTTCTCCTGTCTTCACCAAGTACTTCAGCAAAACGCTGTGCCTTCGAAAGTCAGTGTCCTGCCCAGCCCTAGGTTCACGGCCTCAGGCTGTGTCCAGAGCAGTCCTGAGTAATTCCAGAGAGTTTGGCCTTTTTTCTCTGTCTGGTTCCCTTCAGTATTGGGATAATTTCTAGGTATACGAGGAAGTTTTAAAAGTTGGCCTCTTTGGTAAGTCAGTTTCTTACTTTACTTTATTTTTATTTATTTTTTATTTTTTTTTTTTTAAAGACAGTATTTCACCCAGTTGGTCAGGCTGGTCTTGATCTCCCAACCTCAGGTGATCCTCCCGCCTTGGCCTCCAAAGTGCTTGGATTACAGGCGTGAGCCACCACGCCCAGTCCCTTACTTTACTTTAGAATAACAAATGTTAATTCTCTTGTGTGAAAATTACAAAGTGATGGTGACTCACGCTCTGTTCCGACAGGTCGCAGTTGATGTGCTGCAGAGAATGCTGATTTGTAAGTTTATTGCTTGTGGCCCAGTTTGTAAATGACTTAGTTTGCTTTTAAACAGTTCTGACAGTTTTCTGTCTTTCCACGTGAAGTATTTCTCCTCTGTATGTTTCACCCTGTAGAGTCCTGGTACTGGAATGCCCTTGTTTTGGTTGTAATCTCATATGAATTTACCTTTTACTTCTTATTCTGGCTTCCAATTCCTCGTGGCTTTAGATTTCATTTTCAGAGCTGTGAAGGCATACCATGTTAATCTGTGGTTACGAGGGAAGCGTTTTATTTTCTCTCTGTTTTCATTAACTTTAAAGGCTTACAGATTGCAGTAGCACTGAGGGAGGGCACTGAGAAGTCTTGATGGATGTGGGCCCTGTTGGGGGTTGGACATTGATGTGTTGTCTGAAGGCACCTGGGGACTGTTTCTGGTGGAGCGTCACTGTGCTGATGTCTGTTTTCTGTTCCTGGCTCTGTCATCAGTTGCACTTGAGGCTTTAGCTGCTGGAGTACAGGAGGAGTCCTCCACCCACAAGACCTTGAGGTGCTGGTATGTTCCTGAGGGCGGCCTGCCTGAGGGCAGCGGGGCGGTTCCTGCTACGTTAAAAAGCCAAGATATCCCACTCTTGAGCACACTTCCTCTGCCAGTTATGATAACACGTGTGAGGAGAAGGTGACATTGGGAGAGCCCTGGGGTGCTCTAGTCAGCCTTTTCCCTATGAGGATGAGGTTGGAAGGGGCGCCCCACTGCAGGAGCCTGTTCGCCTCTGGAAGTCCTGCACCAACGCTTTGTCCCACTCAGTGTGCCCCGGTGACCTCCTCCCCTGTCTGGAGTCTCCCCTTGCTCTTCCTTCCCGAGGTGTCGTCCAGGCTCTAGAGTTCACCCTGCCTCTCAGGGCCCCCCACGTTTCTAGAACACACTGTAGCCATGCCTCTATGGACTTTTAAACTCTACCTGCCCTCCACGGGTCCTGCTCAGATTCACAGGAGTCTAAGCTTTGCCCTATTTGCCTTTTCTTTCCATGGCTCTGTAGAGATGCGCAGTTACCCTTACAGATGGGGAGGCGAAAGCTGAGGGGTAGGGGCTTGGCAGACGGTGGATGTTCGGGTTTGGTGGAAATGGGGCTCTGGGGTTTACTTTCCTCGAATGTTGACGGGGGACCTTGAAGTGAAGTCTTCAGAAACCATCAGAATTCCCCACCGTTTCCAGGCCTCGTCAGCCTTTTCATCCTTTGATAGTTTTGCTCATTTCCCTCCCTCACAGTGACTAATTGCTTAATTAAATAGGTTGTACACTTTGGTACTTTTATTGAAACAGTGAATAAAGCACTGCATGATTTTCTGAATGTTTACGTGTGTATCAGCTTGGGCTGCTGTAACAAAGTGCCAGAGACTGCGTGTGGGTGCAGATGTGTTCTCACAGCTGTGGAGGCTAGAAGTTGGAGGTCGGGGTGCCACCAAGGTTGGGTTCTGGTGAGGACCCTCTTCCTGGCTTTCAGGAGGCCTCCTTTTTCTGTGTCCTTACGAGGTAGAGAGGGGGAGAGCAAGCCCTCTGTCTTACCAGGGCGGTCATCTCATCGTGAGGGCCCCACTTTCAGGACCTCATTGCCTAGGCCCTCAAATTACTTGACACTGAGAGATGGGGCTTCACTAGAGGAACCTTGTGGGGATACAGTTTAGTCTTGGCTGTGGAAGTGCGTGTTTTTATAATCCGGGTGATAAGATTACTTACACTGGTGGCCTGAGAGTCAGAGAACAACCACTGACCTGCTGCTTTTTACCTTTTGCAAATAGTTGCTAATATTTTATTTAATTTTGAGGTGGAGTTTCGCTCTTGTCCAGGCTGGCATGCAATGGCGTAATTGCACCTCCCTGCAGCCTCTGCCTCCCAGGTTCAATCAGTGCTCCTGCTTCACCCTTCCAAGTAGCTGGGATTACAGACTTGCACCACCACACCTGCTGAAAGCCTGTAATTTTGTATTTTGTATTTTTAGTAGGAACGGTGTTTCACCATATTGGTCAGGCTGGTCTCAAACTCCTGACCTCAAGTACACCCACCTTGGCCTCCCAAAGTGCTGGGATTACAGGTGTGAGTCACCGCACCCAGCCCGCCAATACTTTAAAATTGGACCTCCTCTAACAGTCTGGGTGGCCAGCTTCCCTTACACACTGAGGGCTGTGGTGTCCCAAAGCCGTGCCCCATGTGGAAGGACAGCGGGCTGAAAAGTACATCTCCATGATGTCCCCACCCTGTTGTGTGAGTATCTTGAGTCTGCACATAGCTGATGCCGTCTTGTCAGGTGTGTGACCAGGGGCAGCTCACTGGTCTGGAGTGGATAGGACTTAATAATTTTCTTACCTGGGTAATCGGCATATAGTGCCCCTTGCTGGTTGCAGGTTGTAAGCCTCGAAAGAGGTACTGGGGTTGGTCTGGTGGTCTCTGTAGGTCTACTGGGCTGTGAGACGCTAGCAGACCTCAAGTGCTCTTGACATCTGGCTCCATGACCCTATTCAACCCCAGAACATCCTGTTCTCTCACTCAAGTGGCTCAGGAAACCATAGTCCCTTCCAGTCCTTCCTCATCCTCATGGATGGTGCTGGCCTCAGCCCCTGTCGTGACTGCAGTGCTTGAGGCCCTGTGTGCTGGGCTCTGCATGTAAGGCTTGGCATGACCCTTTGAAGGAGTTCTATTTTGCAGAGGGTGCTGCTGAGGACCCGAGGGTGGGCTCTTCACTCGAGGCTTGGCATGAGCATTTGGGGGAGGGAGTTCCATTTCATAGAGTTCCACGGAGGTGTCCCCTTCGGTGGGCTCCCGCTGCTCTGCTCCAGGGTGCGGTGCGCCCTGCCCTTCCCAACCTGTTTCTTTCTCCTGCTTCCTCCGCTGCTCTGCTCCATGGGTTTTGCCATTGCTTTGTCTCCTTTCTGGTTGAAATGCCACCTCCTTGGATTCAGTTTCAAGGCTGTGGTTATAGTAGCCTGGCCCAGAAAGCCCCTTCCTTGCTTAAAGGAGGGATGGGCCTGAGGCACACTTTGTGCTGGGACTGATGGGTGGTGTGCAGGGCACCCTCCCTTTTCTCAGCCCTCTTTCTGCTGCATTGGCAGGTTCAGCGTGTTCAGCGGACACACGCTTGGCAGTGTAATTTCCACAGATTCTCAGAAGAGGTTTTTCGGTCAAACCCTGACTCAGATACTCACCCACAGCCCCGTGCTGAAAGGTAGGCCTAGCGCAGAGGCTGCCCTGTCACTACTCAGTTTGGGGATGCTGTTTCATTGTTGCCTTGGTAACTGATGGGAAATGCCAGGAACTCTGGGACCACTTTCGAGTCTCTGTTTTCAACCAGAGATTGGGTCCTGAGATGCCTGAGATTGTTACTAAATATCCTTTCACCTGAAAGAAACACATTCTTACAAGAAAATGCAGAATTGGCCAGGCATGGTGGCTCACATCTGTAATCCCAGCACTTTGGGAAGCTGAGGCGGGTGGATCACGAGGTCAAGAGATCAAGACCATCCTTGCCAATATGGTAAAACCCCGTTTCTACTAAAAATACAAAAAAATTAGCCGGGTCTGGTGGCGTGCACCTGTAGTCCCAGCTGCTCAGGAGGCTGAGGCTGGAGAATTGTTTGAACCTGGGAGGTGGAGGATGCAGTGAGGTGAGATTGCACTGCTACACTACTGCTGGGGTGACAGAGACTCCATCTCAAAAAAAAAGAAAATTCAGAATCATGAGTGGACAGAAGAATGTCTTTTTTTGTTTGTTTGAGAGGGAGTCTTACTCTGTTGCCCATGCTGGAGTGCAGTGGTGTGATCTCGGCTCACTGCTACTTCCGCCTCCCAGGTTCAGGTGATGCGTGTGTCTCAGCTTCCCGAGTAGCCGGAAATATAGGTACACACCACATGCCAGGTTAATTTTTTGTATTTTTAGTAGAGATGGGGTTTCACCTTGTTGGCCAGGCTGGCCTCGAACTCCTGACTTCAGGAACTCCTGATCCGCCTGCCTCAGCCTCCCAAAGTGTTGGGATTATCGGCGTGAGCCATCGCCCCCAGCCTAAAATAGAAATACCTTTAACGTGAAACATTTCAGTGGTGTTTTTCTAAACAGATTGTTTAAAAACGTAGTTCTCGAAATGCCACGATTCTGTCTTAAAATGTTATATAAGCACGTTCTCATGCAGGTTTGCCCAGTGTTCCCAGCAGACATTCCACAGAGTATGCTGGGGGCCCACTGCTTCTGCCCTGAGAGGCCAGAGTTGCTTCAGTCAAGTCTCTAGGGATTTGTGCTTGACATGCTGTGATTGCTGTCTAGTCTTGTAAAATGTGGCCATGCACATTCTCCTACTGGAACACCTGATCACCCAGCACAACCCACATTGTCTTCTGCTGGCTGCCTTTGCCTTGCTGTGACTGTGTCATGTTCTCAGCTAGACTGGGTGGCACATGGGATGGTCCAGGCATCGTCTGCCGACTGAGTGTCCTGTTACCCAACTGTTTCTTACAAATCAGGCCAAGGTGAACGCTTTGATTGTCGAGCTTTTTCTGTGTCTAGGATATCCCCAGGGTAGGTGCTCAGGCAGGAAACTGGGAGGGGGACAAGGGATGCATGGACAGCTCCAGACAGGTGCTGTGAGGTACTTAGGAGTTTATTGGCACTTGCACGGAGCTGAGCTTCCTTTGAACAGCTTTCCCACCATGAATTGTTTATTGACAGTTTAAGAGTAGGAAAATTGAAATGTGATCGATATATTGGCAAATACGTATCTTGACTATGAGAAAGCTTTAGAGTAAGCGGGCCTAAGAAGCAGAGAATTGATAACTTAGCAAATAGGCAACAAACAGGGAGATGCTGAACTTTAATAATTGGAAAAATACATAGTAAGATCTTTTTTCACACTGAAGCTTTGAATCACAAGTTTTTGGCCAACAGCAGTGGCTTACCCCTGTAATCCCAGCACTTTGGGAGGCCGAGGCAGGTGGATCTACAAGGTCAGGAGTTCAAGACCAGCCTGGCCAAAACAGTAAAATCCCGTCTCTACTAAAAATACAAAAATTAGCCAGGCGTGGTGGCAGGCGCCAGTAGTCCTTAGCTACTTGGGAGGCTGAGGCAGGAGGATTGCTTGAACCCAGGAGGTAGAAGTTGCAGGGAGCTGAGACCACGCCATTAAACTCCTGCCTGGGGACAGATCGAGACTCTGTCTCATAAAAAAAAATACAAGAAAGTAGCTGGGTATGATGGCACACGTCTGTGATTGCTGCTACTTTGGAGACTGAGGCAGGTGGATTGCTTGAGCCAGGGAGGTTGGGGCTGTGGTGAGCACCGCACTCCAGCCTGGGTGATGGTGAGACCCTTCCAAAAAAAAACCCCACAACCTTTGATCTCTGACTTGAAGTTTTTGTCCATTTCTCCCCCTGCAGCTTCTGATGCTGTTCAGATGCAGAGAGAGTGGAGCTTTGCGCGGACGCACCCGCTGCTTACTGCATTGTACCGCAGGGTGGGTAGAGGTGGTATTAGACCTGCTGCTGAGCTTGTGGTGTGGGGATTAAGATCTGCTGAGTCTTTGTCATGCTGCCTGCCATGGACAGCACGTGGGGAGGTTCAGGGATCTCTACTGAGATGTGGCTGTCCTCGCTCACTAGGCCACCATTTAGGTCACTTGGGCAGAGCCCGTCCTGCCCGAGATAGGAGAGTGCTGAGCACTGTGAGAGGAGAGACCCCACAGTGTTTGTTGTCACAGCTCCGTGTGCTGCCTTTCCCGGGGGAAGCGGGAGGGGCTGGGAGGCGGGTGCGGGGTCCTGTGTCCCATGCTGGTTTCCTTTGACATTGAAAGGAGTGGACGCTGTTTTTTCAGCTCTTTGTGATGCTGAGTGCAGAGGAGTTGGTTGGTCATTTGCAGCAAGTTCTGGAAACGCAGGAGGTTAACTGGCAGCGAGTGCTCTCATTTGTGTCTGCACTGGTCGTCTGCGTCCCAGAAGCACAGCAGCTCCTCAAAGGTGAGCTTCTATGAGAGCTGGTGGTGCTGGTCAGAGTGTGTGAGGGGGTGTGACTTGAGTACTGCTTTCAGCAGAGTCCCAGCTGACCGTGGGGGAGCCTCTCAGTGAAACCCTTCCCTGCCTGCCTGTAACCTGTAGTGTCTCCTGTCAGTGGAACAGTCTTCGTCAGACGCTTCCATGAGCACTGATGGCTGCTCTGAGAGGTCTGAGTGTGCACTGCTGGTTCATTCAAGTCTCTAGCGGTTTCTGCTTGACATGCTGTAATTGCCTTCTAATCTTTTAAAACTTCGTGTTTGGGCATGCACATTCTCCTATTGGAATACCTGTTCACCCAGCACAACTCAAGTTATCTTTCTGCTGGCCGCCTTTGCCTTGCTGTGACGGTGTCATGTTCTCAACTAGACTGGGTGGCGCATTTGATGGCCCAGGCATTCGAGAGCTGCCAGATGGACAACATGGTCACTGCGTTTCTGGTCGTGCGCCAGGCAGCACTGGAGGGCCCCTCTGCGTTCCAGTCATATGCAGACTGGTTCAAGGTAAGTGACCTGCCCATTACTGACTAGCACCTGATCCTCCCAGAAGGCTTGGGAATGGGGACCATGCTGTCCCCACCTGACACGCTGTCATAAGAGTGAACGACCTTGCCGTGAGCTTTGCCAAGTGGCCTCCGCAGACCTTCTACTGGGTGTGCTGGGGGGCCTGGGTTCTCCCTGCTGGAGTCTTGGTCCCTTCCCCTGGTTTCATCTCACTTGCTTGATGGAGCCTCCTGCTGTCTTTTATAAGAAAATCAGGGAAATCAAGCCTGGACAACATGGTGAGGCCTCGTTGCCTCTGAAAACAACAGCAATAACAAACTAGGCAGGTGTGGTGGTACATACCTGTAGTCCTAGTTACTTGGGACACTGGGAGCTAAGGCCACAGTGAGCTGTGATTGCACCACTGTGCTCCAGCCTGGGAGACAGAAGGAGACTCCATCCCAGAAAGAGAAAAGGAAATTAGGAAAGGGGAGACACAGAAGTGGCTGCTGCTTTTTGCAGAATATACAGCGTTTTTTTAATTTGAGATGGAGTCTCATTCTGTCGCCCAGGCTGGAGTACAGTGGCGCGATCTCGGCTCACTGCAGTCTCCATCTCCTGGGTTCAAGCGTCTCCTGCTTCAGCCTCCTGGGTAGCTGGAATTAGAGGCACTGCCAACCACACCCAGGTAATTTTTGTATTTTTAGTAGACACGGGTTTCACCATGTTGGTCGGGCTGGTCTCAAACTCCTGACCTCATGATTCATGCACCTCAGCCTCCCAAGGTGTTGGGATTACAGGTGTGAGCCACCGTGGCCAGCCTTTCCTTATTTTCTTTTTGGAGATGGAGTCTCACTCTGTCGCCCATGCTGGAGTGCAGTGGTACGATCTCTGCTCACTGCAACCTCTGCCTCATGGGTTCAAGCGATTTTCCTGCTTCAGCCCTATAGCTGGGGTTACAGGTGTCTGTCACCACACCTGGCTCATTTTTGTTTTTGTTTGTTTGTTTTTGAGACGGAGTCTTTCTCTTTCACCCAGGCTAGAGTGCAGTGGTGCAATCGCGGCTCACTGCAACCTCCACCTACCAGGTTCAAGTGATTCTCTTGCCTTGGCCTCCTGAGTAGCTGGGATGACAGGCATGTTCCACCGTGGCCAGCTAATTTTTCGTATTTTTTTTTTTTGAGACGGAGTTTCGCTCTTGTTACCCAGGCTGGAGTGCAATGGCACGATCTCGGCTCACCGCAACCTCCGCCTCCTGGGTTCAGGCAATTCTCCTGCCTCAGCCTCCTGAGTAGCTGGGATTACAGGCATGCGCCACCGTGCCCAGCTAATTTTTTTTTGTATTTTTAGTAGAGATGAGGTTTCACTGTGTTAGCCAGGATGGTCTTGATCTTCTGACCTTGTGATCCACCCTCCTTGGCCTCCCAGTGTGCTGGGATTATAGGTGTGAGCCACCGAACCTGGCCTAATTTTTATATTTTCAGTAGAGATGGGATTTCACCATGTTGGCCAGGCTGGTCTTATACTCCTAACCTCAAGTGATCTGCCCGCTTCAGCCTCCCAAAGTGTTGGGATTACAGGCATGAGCCACCGCACCTGGCCTTGTGTCTCTAATTTTCATATAAGTCCCGAAACAAGTACTCCCTTATTCAGAGGTGTCACATATTCTTCCCTTTTCTGTGGAGTACACACGGTGTTCTCTCTGACAGAAGTCTATGCTGCTGTTCCCAAACCTGAGTGGATGTTAGACTCTCCTGCGGGGGCCTTTGGAAATACAGAGCCCAGGGCCCATTTCACACTGGAGTCTGAGCTTTCAAGATCAGCCTGGGCAACACAGTGAGACCCCTGTCTCTACAGAAAATGAAAAATTAGCTGGGTGTATGGGTAAGCACCTGTAGTCCCATCTACTTGTGGGCTGTGGCAGGAGGATTGCTTGAGCTGAGGAGGTTGAGGCTGCAGTGAGCTGGAATTGCAGTACTACGCTCCAGTTTGGGAGACAGAGCAGGACTCTGTCAAAAAAATAGAAGTACTGGATTTGTTTGCCATCACCATTTTGGTGAAATAGTTCCCTCTTTGTAGGAGTCTCAGCTTCCTGAAATTTTAAAGACCCACGTGCCTGCATAGCTATCACGGGTCCTGCTCCTCCGTGAGGAGGTGAGGCTGCCCAGCAGGCTGAGCGACTTAGGCTTACATTGGGAGAAGGTGGTGATCCTTGCAGTGTGGACTCAACGGCTGTTCCTTAAGGTTTCTTTTCATCCACCCTCAGTCTCTCCCCAGCTGTATGCAGTTGGCCTGCTACTTAGTTTCTTACTAAACTAAGGTGAGCGGCGTTTGTTCTGTCGTTAGTGAGGGGCTGAGGTGTTTATACCAGAGTCCACCCTGGTGCTCTTGGGCCTGTGAGTTCATGTATCTCCCAGGGCCTTGGTTCAGGGCCCTGCCAGGGTTTCCTTTCTTTCAGTTCCCAAGGTGAGAGTCAGTGTGAGAGGAATACTCAAGTGCTGTGTTGACGGTGTTGTTTGCTTTTTCTTTTACCTTTTCAAACCACCTTTATCAAAATTTAGTTTTAATGAAATAACAAAATGCACACAATTTAACTGTACCATTAAATGAGGTTTTTTGTTTTTGTGTTTTCAGAGACTCGGTCTTGCTCTGTTGCCCGGGCTGGAGTGCAGTGGCATGACCATAGCTCACTGCAGCCTTGACCTCCTGGGGTCAAGCAGTCCTCCTGTCTCAGCTTCCAGAGTAACTGGGACTATAGGTGTGTGCCACCACACCTAGCTAATTAAAAACATTTTTAGTGCAAATACAACATCCCACTGTGTTGCCTAGGATGGTTCCAGACTTCTGGCCTTAAGTGATCCACCTGCCTCAACCCCCAGAACACTGGGATGACAGGTGGGAGCCACCACGTCTAGGCAGTTAGATGAGTTTTGGTAAATGTATGTATGCATATTCAGTATTCAAACATCTGTTCTAATTTTTAATTTTGTGCATGAATCCCAGCACTGTGGGAGGACAACGTGGGCACATCACTTGAGCTCAGGAGTTTGAGACCAGCCTGGGCAACATGGTATAAAACCCCATCTCTACTAAAAATACAAAAATTAGCTGGGTGTGGTGGTGGGTGCCTATAATCCCAGCTACTTGGGAGGCTGAGGCAGGAGAATTGCTTGAACCTGGGAGGCATAGGCTGCAGTCAGCCGAGATCATACCATTGTGCTCCAATGTGGATGACAGAGCAAGATTCTGTCTCAAAGAAAAACTTTTTTTTTAGTTCTAGGAAGTGTTAATATACATAGAACAAATGATTGCTAATTTGAGCCTTCTGGGGTCATTAATACAGTTTTCAGCACAGTGCCTTACGTAGTTAAATGTAATTTGTGGGTTTGTTCACCTTTTTTTTTTTTTTAATCGAGACTGGGTCTCTGCTCTGTCTCCCAGGCTGGGATGTGGTGGTGTCATCACGGCTCACTGCAGTCACAACTTCCAGACTGAAATGATCCTTGTAGCCAGGACTGCAGGTGTGTGTCACCGCTCCTGGCTAATTATTAACCACCTTTTTTGTAGAGATAGGGTCTCACCATGTGCCTTGTCCTCCTCGGCTCCAGTGAACTTCCTGCCTCAACCTCCCAAAGTATTGCAATTACTAGAGAGAGCCACTGCACCCAGAAGTTAAGTGTAAATTTTCTTCAAAAATAACAGGGCTGGGCGCGGTGGCTCATGCCTGTAATCGCAGCACTTCGGGAGGCCGAGGCTGGCGGATCATGAGGTCAAGAGATTGAGACCATCCTGGCCAACATGGTGAAACCCTTTTCAGCCTGTAGTCCTAGCTACTTGGGAGGCTGAGGCAGAAAAATTGCTTGAACCCGGGAGGTGGAGGTTGCAGTGAGCCAAGATCACGCCACTGCACTCCAGCCTGGGACCTGACGACAGAGTGAGACTCTGTCTCAAAAATAATGATATAATAACAGTCAGAACTGACTTTTTTCCTGGTAACTAAAATGGCTGCTGTGACCCCAGGTCTGGCTTGTGTCAGCCCCTTTATGGAAATGCCTTCAGTGATGGCTCAGGACTGTTTCTTGCGGCAGCCAGTATCATCTAGCTCACTGTAATTGAACATTGCTGAGAGTCAGTCGTGGTAGTCCGTTGTGGATGGCTGAATGGAGGATAAGAAGTCACGGTGTGGCTGGGGGAGAATTTAAGGTTGAAACTACATGCTGATGTTTTGGGGAGGGAACCCTTGAGTGGTCTCAGGTTGGATTTAAATCTTTTTTTTTTTTTTTTTTTCTTTTGAGACAGAGTTTCGCTCTTGTTACCCAGGCTGGAGTACAATGGTGCAATCTCAGCTCACCGCAATCTCTGCCTCCTGGGTTCAAGCAATTCTCATGCCTCCGCCTCCCGAGTAGCTGGGACTACAGGCACGCGCCACCATGCCCAGCTAATTTTTATATTTTTTGTAGAGACGGGGTTTAAGCGTGTTGACCAGGATGGTCTCGATCTCTTGACCTCGTGATCCACCTGCCTCGGCCTCCTAACATGCTGGGATTATAGGCGTGAGCTACTGCGCCTGGCCTTAAATCTTTTTTTTTTTTGAGACAGAATCTACTTTGTCACCCAGGCTGGAGTGCATTGGCGTGATCTCAGCTCACCGCAACCTCTGTCTCTCAGGTTCAAGTTGGTCTCCTGCCTCAGCCTCCCGAGTAGCTGGGATTACAGGCATGCACCACCAAGCCCAGCTAATTTTTGTATTTTTAGTACAGACAGGGTTTCACCATGTTGGTCAGGTTGGTCTCAAACTCCTTGCCTCATGATCTGCCTGCCTTGGCCTCCCAGAGTGCTGGGATTACAGGTGCGAGCCACCGTGCCCAGTCCTTATTTAAATTTTTACCTGGCAAGTATTGAGCTGCTTTCCTGGTATTTGGAACAGACAGTTCACGTCTCTGAACTGTTTTTCCCTGACTCCGTCCCTCTCAGAGACATTGATGAGCATTATCAGCATTTTTCCCTTTTTATCTAATAGCTTTTCGAGTTTGTATATATGGTAATGACGTTCAAAAGAATGTACACATGGTCAGGTGTGGTGGCTTATGCCTGTAATACCAGCACTTTGGGAGGCTGAGGTGGGAGGATCACCTAGAGGTCAGGAGTTTAAGACCAGCCTGGCCAGCATGACAAAACCTCATCTCTACTAAAAGTATAAAAAGTGGCCGGGCTGGACATTGTGGCTCACGCCTGTAATCCCAGCACTTTGGGAGTTCGAGGCAGGCGGATCACCTGAGGTCAGGAGCTCAGGACCAGCCTGGCCAAAATGATGAAACCCTGTCCCCACTTAAAATACGTAATTAGCCAGGCATGGTGATGCACACCTGTAATTTCAACTACTTGGGAAGCTGAGGCAAGAGAATTGCTTGAACCCCGGGAGGCGGAGGTTACCATTAGCTGAGACTTCACCAGTGCAGTCCAGCCTGGGCGATGGAGTGAGTTTGTCTCAGAAAAAAAGAAAAAACGAATTAGCCAGGTCTGGTGGCGTGTGCTTTGTAGTCCCAGCTATTTGGGAGGCTGAGGTGGGAGAATCACTCGAACTCGGGAGGCCGAGGTTGCAGTGAGCTGTCATTGTGCCACTGCACTCCAGCCTGGGCAAAGAACAAGACTAAAAGACGAAAAAAAAATTAGCCGGGCATGGTGGCAAATCCTTTTAATCACAGCTACTAGGGAGCTGAAGGCAATTCTACTGAGGCAGAAGAATTGCTCCATCCTGGCGGGGCGGACGTTGCATTGAGCTGAGATCACGCCACTGTGCTCCAGCCTGAGTGACACAGTGAGACTCTACCTCAAAAAAAAAGGGATGTACATGAGGTTGTCCACTTTTAGAAAGATCATAGTAAGCCTTCAGTTCATGTTGCAGCTCAGCTTCATGATGAATAGTAACTCACTGAGGTTTCACCACGATACCCTGTGCACTCACGCATGGCCGGGGTGGCAGAAGCTCATGTGTTTTTGCAGGTAAGTAGTTCCGTTCTCACATACGTACACATTTTCTCTGCAGGTTCACTTGTGGTGTGTTCAGGGCCATGCCCATATAAAGCCACCTTCCTTTCCTGACTCACTGCAGCCTTTGCCAGGACCTTGCTGCAGCCCCCTTGGTTCCTGGAAGGGTTTGCTCTTATTCCCCGCTTGCTCTGCTCTAGGGTCTTGCAGTTTCTTTGTCTGGGGGTGGCCCTCCTTGGCCTCTATTCTTCAGCTGCCTCTTGTGGTGATCTGTCCACTGATGGATGAGGTTAGACGTTATAGTGTGGGTCTTCACTTCTCTGTGTCCTGTTGTCCTAGACACCTACCTTGTGTGGCCCTGTGACCTGCAGGTATTGGAGATCCACAGCTAAGACGCCAGGATCCCCTGGAAGCCTAGAAATGAAATTCTACCTCTATTCTGATGTAATTAGGTTAAGAAAATTAAAAGGCGGCCGGGCGCGGTGGCTCACACCTATAATCCCAGCACTTTGGGAAGCCGAGGCAGGTGGATCACAAGGTCAAGAGATCGAGACCATCCTGGTCAACATGGTGAAACCCGTCTCTACTAAAAATACAAAAAATTAGCTGGGCATGGTGGCGCGTGCCTGTAATCCCGGCTACTCAGGAGGCTGAGGCAGGAGAATTGCCTGAACCCAGGAGGCAGAAGTTGCGGTGAGCTGAGATCGCGCCATTGCACTCCAGCCTGGGTAACAAGAGAGAAACTCCGTCTCAAAAAAAAAAAAAAAAGATACCATAGTTAGTGTTTACTGTAGGTAATTATTTTTAACTTTTATTTGAATAACTTTTAGACCGTCTCTTCAATGAAATCATAGCCATGACGTCTGTAAATGTGTGAACCAAAATGACCTTTGGTTGTTTCTCTTTCTTCCTTTTCTGTTTAGGAGGCTGACTAGAGCAGCAGCCAGACACTGCCTGGCTGTCCTGGGTTTCACCCTCTTCTCTCCACACAGGCCTCCTTTGGGAGTGCGCGAGGCTCCCATGGCTGCAGCAAGAAGGCTCTGGTTTTCCTCTTCAAGTTCTTGTCAGACCTTGTGCCTTTTGAGTCCCCCCGGTACCTGCAGGTGAGAAGCTGCCTGCCACATCCATGATTTCTGGTGCTTCTGCTCACCTGCTCAGTCTGAGGACTGCCTTTGCCTCCCCAAGAGGCTTCTGCAGATCTACTCTGAGCCTCTCAGCCAGGCCCCTCTCCTTACCCAAGCAGTTTATGGTGAAACAACACGGACATTGCAACTGGCAAGTGCTCAGAAACCCTTCACTCTTCTGGACCAAGGAGATGGGTACATACATGATGTCACTGTGCAGTCAGCCTTCAAACAGTGAGCAGGTCTAAGTGGTGACATGGAAAGACGTTCTCTGCGGCACCCAGCTATGCAGGAAGAGCAAGTTGTACTGCATTGTAGTAGGATCTCATTTGTGCTTTTTTTATGAGACAGAGTCTTGCTCTGTCACCAGGCTGGAGTGCAGTGGTGCAATCTCAGCTCACTGCAACCTCCGCCTCCTGGGTTCAAGCAATTCTTGCACCTCAGCCTCCTGAGTAGCTGGGACTACAGGCATGCACCACCACACCCTGCTAAATTTTTTTGTATTTTTAGTAGAGATGGGGTTTCACTATGTTGGCCAGGATGGTCTCGATCTCTTGACCTCGTGATCCGCCCGCCTTGGCCTGCCAGTGTGCTTTTTTTTTTTTTTTTTAACCTAAACCCTGGACCCATGGTCTTCACAGGTGTGTGGGAAGCCAAAGGTGTGGAGCTGCAGCTGGGCTGGCTGGCCCGGCTGGCCCCTGCCTGCTGCTTCTGGTAATGCACATCTCTGGCTCCCCCAGTAAGCCACCCTGGACTTAGAGGACCAATTATGTGAGAATTCCTTCATTTTTCACCTGGGAAAGCAGCCTTCTGTTGTGTTTTAGTTTTACTAATGGTTTGCTTTGCATACTCATAAGTTCTCATAGAGGACTTGTGTTTCTCTACTCAGCAGCACCGTGGATGGTGGAACTGAACTGTGGCCTCCCTGGAGTTCCAGACAGTTCCCTGACTAATGGTGGTGCACTCTGTTGTCTGTCCTCAGGTGCACATTCTCCACCCACCCCTGGTTCCCAGCAGGTACCGCTCCCTCCTCACAGACTACATCTCATTGGCCAAGACGCGGCTGGCTGACCTCAAGGCAAGCTGCCCCTCCATGCCCACTCCTCACACCCATCCAGCAGAAACAGCTGTGTTTTCTTATTCGCATTCTGTCTCTTCTCTGAAGGTTTCTATAGAAAACATGGGACTCTACGAGGATTTGTCATCAGCTGGGGACATTGCTGAGGTAATGTTGCTTGAGCCCTGCAGGGTCTCAGCCATTCACGCCCACCTAGCAAAGGTCCAGTTTCCTTTGTCTCTTGGGCCTTTCAGCCTTCCCAGTCTCTCGTCTGGTCTTGGTTTGGGCGCAGCTGAGGGCAAGGCTCTGAGGGCCTCTGTTTTGCCTGTCCCACCATGTGTGTGTTCCCAGCATTAGCATGAGGGAGTTTCTGTGTGTGGGAAAGAAGTGCCTCATGCTGCAGTCAGTGGGTCCCTTTGGGAGATCTTGGTTCATGTGGGATTGAATGGAGAGGTGGTCAGTCATGTTTTTCTTTGAATTATAGGAAAGTGTTAACTATTTTTTTTTTCCTACTCCAAGTAAAATACACTTTTTTTTTTTGAAATGGAGTCTAGCTCTGTCACCAGGCTGCAGTGCAGTGGCACAGTCTCGGCTCCTGGGTTCAGGTGATTCTTCTGCCTCCGCCTTCTGGGTACCTGGGACTAGAGATGTTTGCCACCACGCCCAGCTAATTCTTCTATTTTTAGTAAAGACGGCGTTTCACTATGTTGGCCAGGATGGTTTTCATCTCTTGGCCTTGTGATCCTCCCGCCTCGGCCTCCCAAAGTGCTGGGATTACAGGTGTGAGCCACCATGCCTGGCCTAACTAAGTGTTAACTATTTTTATAGAAGCCAAATGTCAGATGGTATGTGGTGTATGTCACTCATAAAAACGTTCTTTACTGCTTAAGACCTTTTTATTTTAAAGTTACGAGTTACTGAAGAACACTTAGAGATGACATTGAAGTGTTTGGTGAAAATATTTAATGCAACTTTCCGTTAATGATTCATTGCTATTTATAAGGTAGTATATTTTTTTTGAGGTGGGATCCTGTCCTGTTGCCCAGGTTGAAGCAGTGGTGTGATGACAGCTCAGTGCAGCCTCAACTGCCTGTGTTCAAGCAGTCCTCCCACCTTGACCTCCTGAATAGCTGGGGCTACAGGCGTGTGCCACCACGCCTGTCTAGTTTTTAAAATTTTTTGTAGAGATAGGGTCTCTCTGTGTTGCCCAGGCTTGTCTTGAACTCTTGGGCTCAAGTGATCCTTCTACCTTGGCCTCCAAAAGTGCTGAGATTACGGATGTGATCTCATGAGATGTGATCTCATGCCTGACCTCTTTTTTTTTTTTTTCCACACAGGGACTTGCTCTGTTGCCACTAGAGTACAGTGACACGATCATGACTACTGCAGCCTTAATTTCCTGGGCGCAGGCAATTCTCCCACTTCTGTGTTCTCAGTAGCTGGGACCACTGCCTCATGCCTATACCCTGGCTGATTGTATTTTTTGTAGAGTTGGGATTTCATCATGTTGCCCAGGCTGGTCTTGAACTCTTTGGGCTCAAGCAATCCCCCTTCCTTAGCCTCTCAAAGTACCGGATGTATAGGCATGAGCCACGGCACTAAGCCCTCATAATTGTTTTTAATCTCAAAAATTAAGTCTCGACTCCTTCCCAACTGGAAATCTTTACTTTCAACTCTTCACTTTCTTAGAGGCAGCAAAGAGGCTCATGGCACGCAGAGGAGGGAGCAGCTCTCAGTAGAGCTCAGTTGCCACGACGAGGGCCTCAGGTCACCAGGTCTGAGCCTTGTGGATGTAGGAACAGCAACACTGTCCCTTCCCGTGTCTTGCTGGTATTTTGGGATGTTGTGGGCGTGCTCCAGTGCCCTGTTGTGCACACTCATATGGGCCTTTAATTTGTACAGAGCCTTTGCCCAGTGAAGCACAGGTTGAGTCTGGCCTTCACTGCTCATTTTCTTTTCTTTCAAGTCCTCTGTTTTTTTTTCCTTCCTCCCTGTACTGGAACCAGCCCCACAGCCAGGCTCTTCAGGATGTTGAAAAGGCCATCATGGTATTTGAACATACAGGGAAAATCCCAGTCACCGTCATGGAGGCCAGGTAGGCTGGGCTGCCCAAAGGGCAGGGGCAGCTGCAGTGAGTACAGAGTCCACTCTGATGCCTGTCAGTGTCTTGGGGCCTTTTGAGTGTGTCCCAGGTCCGCTCAGAACCACATGGGGAAGGTCGGCCGCTGTCTATTCGTGGAGAGACGGCAGTCAGGGGTGTAAATTCACATCGAGGCTCCTGCGGTTGGGGGATGTGGGGTGAGGTGAAGCTGTGCATTTGCTGCGAAACATGATTTCTGCGTAAAAGCATGTGACGTTCCTCCCACACTGAAAAAGCCAATGGGAAGTGTTGACTGGGGAGCCCGCAGTGGGAGGGAAGGCAGTGGGGCACAGTGATCTTTTTTGTCAGTGCTTTCTTCATGACCAATATGGCGTCAGTAACAGCGCTGAATCGCACAGCTTTATTCAATTTGTGTAAGCCCAAAACATCTTGAATTCTGGTGGTTACCTGTGTGGACGAGCTGATTGCAGCTCCCAGTGTTTTCAAATCAGCTCCAAGCAAAATGCCCCAGAGGACCTTACATGGGTCTTTATAGCCTCAGATGGATCCAGGCTGCATGGCCAGTGGTTCTGATTCCCATGGTCTCTGGACTGGGGTGGCACAGCCTGCCCTGCACATGCCTTGTCTCGGAGCTGTGCACAAGAAGACTTCATGACACAGCAGCCCATGGTGGCTTTGGAATAAGCCCTGCAGTCCATTCTCTGAAACGCCAGTCACTGTCTGTGGGAACTGCCTTTCGCTGCACTCACCTGCCCACTGTCTGCTTCTCTGTTGCAGCATATTCAGGAGGCCTTACTACATGTCCCACTTCCTCCCTGCGCTGCTCACACCGCGAGTGGTCAGTATGCATCTCCATCAGGACCAGTTGTTTAAAAAGCAAGGACTTTCCTTGTCAGCATCTCACAGGACTCTTGTCTTCCCACAGCTCCCAAAAGTCCCTGACTCCCGTGTGGCTTTTATAGAGTCTCTGAAGAGGTATGCAGGAACATCTAGAGGGGGTCTACTGTGCTTTTCAGGGGTTTTTTTTTTGTCGGTGCGAAGAATTGTGGCTCTTCTGTAGAGAAATTTGTACAATCACTAATGTGTTTTGTTTGTTTTTTTGATACGGAGTCTTGCTCTGTTGCTAGGCTGGAGTGCAGTGGTGCGATCTCAGCTCACTGCAATCTTCGCCTCCCAGGTTCTAGCAATTCTCCTGCCTCAGCTTCCCAAGTAGCTGAGACTACAGGCGTCTGCCAACATGCCTGGCTAATTTTTGTATTTGTAGTAGGGACGGGATTTCACCGTGTTGGCCAGAATGGTCTTGATCTCTTGACCTCATGAGATGCCCACCTTGGCTTCCCAAAGTGCTGTGATTACAGGTATGAGCTATTGCACCTGGCCCATGTGTTTTATTTTTAAAATATTGACTCCAAAATTAGTTCGTTAGAATTTTTTTTTTGGATGGAGTCTTGCTCTGTCACCCAGGCTGGAGCGCAGTGGCGTGATCTCAGCTGAGTGCAACCTTTACCTCTTAGGTTCAAGCGATTCTCCTGCCTGACTCTCCTGCGTAGCTGGGATTACAAGTATGCGCCACCACTTGTTAATTTTTTTTTTTTTTTTTTTTAAGTAGAGATGGGTTTCACCAAATTGGCCAGG